TTTTGCATCAAGTTACTATGTAAGTGTGCATTTTTTTGGTGGCATCCCAACAGTTGGGCAGCATAGCCCACATGTTGGCGCAAACATCCTGGTTGTGCAGGAAACCTCTAATCTCACTTGAGGTGATAAGGATGACATCATTTCCTTATGATGCCATTGGTCAGAGCCCTTCATAATAGCCATAAAACGAACATACATGTACCACGCAAACATACCGTTTATACATGTTTAAATGGGTATATTGTACGCATGCTGCATCATTAGCATCAGTGTGTTTGGGTAATGGTGTCACCAAAATTAAAACATTCTTATTCTGCTAATTTCAATGTGTAATGTATTCAAATGCCTGCAAAAAGATAGTTTCTTGTAATGTAATGTACCGGTTGGCCTACTGTACATGCATGTACATACCGGTACATGTACATGTACATGCACCTGTACATATGCATCTGTACATACATGCACCTGTACATACATGCACCTGTACATACATGCACCTGTACATTTTACTAGTACCGTAGTTTCTCCTCTAAACAAATATAATGCATGTAGGGTGATCTGAATTTAAAAAAATTTGTCATAATTTTGTATGTCAGTGTGTACTGTTGACTACAAAAGTCGTGTGCTTTTAAAGGCAACGATTGTAAATGTCCTCTTTAAAAAGTGGCTTGGCTTGCTTTTAAGAAGCTACGTGTACCGGTACATGTACATGTACATTTAAAGACATTTATATATGTGAATTAAAGACATACATGTGCATATGTACTTAGTGAAAAATGCTACGGTATCTTCAAATCAAATTATGTAGCAGGTTCAAGCACCCACTTTTAACTAACGCTCTCTCTTGAAAATTCTGCTTTGAGTAGAGAACCGTTTGCTTGGAGCATCAAGCCAGGAGTGCATTATGTCCAGCAGGTCAAGTGCTAACATCGCAGCAGCGTTGAATGCCATTAATATTACACTGTATTAAAGATTTCCTGCAATGAAATTTACAGTGGCCCTGTCCAGAAAGTTCCTTTGCTGAAAAAAAGTTGATGGATTTTTAATGGGGCTCATGAGAATTTAAGGAAAAAAATTAACAGAGATGAATTATCGGTTGGGTAGTGATACATGTATGTTGATAACATATAATTGATAACAAAATGCACTGGGCTGTCAAAGTGGAAGAAAAATCAAAAACTTAAGTATTACACTGTGTACATGTACATGTATATTTTAGATCTCTTGCAAACAAGATAAGGTACTGGTTGGAGAAAGGAAAAAAGTAAGAATAAATCACTTTAGTAAGCTAGTCGGCTTTTCCTGTGTCACGTTCAACCTGTTTTCAACTTGTGTGATTATCAAGCCCGACCATGTTCAACAAGAAAAAACTCCTTAAAACCTGACCTCTGTCCTGCTTGAGGGTGTTAACTATGCCAAGCCCTTCACAGACAAGAATATGCAAAATACATCTCACTCCCTTTCCCATCCTTTTATCTAGGAGGGGCAGCTTTCTGAGCAAAGATAACGAACTTGGGAAAAGGGCCTGATGCAATGAATTACTGCTGTAAGGAGGCAAGGTCGTGGATGAGTGGAAAAAAACAGTTATAACCCAGTTGAGCTGTGGGGACATTGCATTGCCCTGCATTGCATTACACAGTGCAAGTGCTGGTGCCCTGCCCCACAACTATTTTACATGTATTTCTTTGGAGGCTATATGGTACATGTGGTTCTTGATGGGTATGATCCAGTACAACTTCACTTTGTAATGGAGGAGGAATGTGTCCCAGAGTAGTTGAAGTGGGAAAGCCTGCTCGTTGGGATGGAGGCGACCCCAGATTATTGGGAAAAGTCTACAAAGGAGACTTCATTTTGCAACCAAATCTGGTATTGCACGTTGTTGCTTTTGATTGGGTTGTGCTTAACCCTAACTACCGGTACCCCAAACCTGCCATACTCCAACAGCAGGTTTTGTGAGGTTTTGTACCATACATGATGAACTTGTTGAATATTGTGAGACTTGGGATGAAAGGCCCAAGGAGATGGTGTTGGATTCTATGTGAGTCGGGACACACAGGGTTCATTGTGTGCAGTGTCTGGCTTGCTGTGCCAGTTGTTGGACTATGCTTGATTTTGTCAGGTTTGGTACTGTTCAGTGCAAGTCACCCTATACTGCATGTACCGGTAGACCCATCCATACCATATCACTCAAACTCCAACAGGCTCATTCTGTTGGAGTTTATAAGGTTTGGTACATGTACAGTGACCTGCATGTACATGTACAAGTACATGTACATAGACAGGTACATGTTGGCTTTTGTGAGGTTCAGTGTGCTCTCTAGTGCAGGAGCCCAGGGGGTTAGGGTTTAGCTTGGTGGTTTAATATTGGGTTTCCTTGAGAGAACCTGAGGCCAGGGTTCCCTCCCTATTCAAGTGTGAGGCGGCCCCACCTCACTGATTTTAGTGACCACCTCAGGCTTTTCTGTTGAATTTTACCACCTCACACCTCACAGATCAGTTTTACATGTAAATCATTCTGAATGGTAAAGAAGGACACAGAATACAAGATCAATTCACATGTACTAGTATTTTGAATGTGCTATTAGACTGTATAGAACTTATTTTAGGCCTGTTAGAAAACACTCACTTTTGTTTTAGGCACTAGAACTTTGGCAACATTTGTTTGACCACTATCAGTACCTCAGGGGAAACCCTGCCTGAGGCAACATCAACTTCACTTGGCTGTTGCTTGAAATAACATGGGGCTGTGGGAAAAGCATGGAATCACTGGCTGAGGGCTTCCATACAGTAGTAGTACAGGTACCGATCCATGTGGGCGCATGTTTTTAACACATGTACACATGTACATGTGTATATCCAGCCATACATGTAGCCAAGTACTTACATGTACATTGATCACAAGGGATGGGAGCTAAAGTTTTAAATGTGGCCAAGTGTAGTCTTACAAATTGTGGCAGAATGTGCACAGAGATTCAGTTATCAGTATTCAGAGAATTACCGCTATTTGTCAGTGCCCAGAGAATGAGATACCAGAACTGGTATTCCAGGTAAGGAATCCAAGAAATGGACACCACCGAAACCAAATACAATCCACTGGTCTTACCACTGCCATGTTGAAATCATTAACTATATCATCTGCACCCGTTGACAGAAGTCCTGAAGTAAGAGTGTATATTTCCCCTTAAATAAATGTACGGTAGATTAGTTGAGTCATTGTGACCTGAACTGCCATTTATACATGATTCTTTGAGGCTGAAAAAAGTGAAGGATTTTTGGTTTTTGAAAGAGAAAATTGAAAACTAGTTCTGAGAATGTCCGTATATCATGTTGTATGTTTTTCTTTAGGCCTTAAATAAATTTCTTCTTGCTGAGAAAAGGGGCTTCTTCCTGCATAATAATCCTGCAACTGCAGACAAGTAGACACATTTTTATGGATTTGTCTACAGTTGAAGGAATTTTATGCAAAATGATGCCCCTCCAAATCTTTTTATTATCAGATCTTTCCCAGGTGCGCTAAAACTCCTGTCGCTGGGCTTGTCCAGTGAAGGCGATAACCTGATAGCCCCTTAGGCAAGTTGGAGGATGGCGGGCGGTGATTGGATGAGGGTATTAAGTAGTTGAACCATGGGTGGAAGCAAATAGAAAAAGGTGATTGTACTGCCTGGTACAGCATGTAGTGGGGGTGGGTGGGTTGTAATGTCAGGGGTTGTCCACCTTGAGGAAAAATGGGCTCTAGAGATTTGCAATTTGGATGAGAGCTTTGGAAACTTTAAGAGCCGTGTTTTGCGTGGATCTGCGTGCCTGTGTTTACTGTAGTTTCACTGTGCAAAGAGTGTATTGCTTTCCTGTTTGTACTTCAGGGAATACGGGCGATTCACAATAGTGCGCCTCCAAGAGTTTGCAACGCGTTGGCTAATCACAACATGCAAAATCTGTTGACACTTATCAAACGGGCTTTGGGTCGACAGATTGTGCGCATTGTGATTGCCCAGTGTGTTGCAAACACTTGGAGGTGCATTATTGTGAATTGCTCATATTGGAAGGAGGATTTGATATACCGGTACATTGATTTTTATTTTTAGATGATATTTACAGCCCATAGGCATGACCTCCCCTTTAGTTTAACATGTTGAATCCTAAACTCCCCCCCCCCCAAAATCCCAGCATTTTGTCCAGGAATTTCGGATTATTTATCAAGGTGTGAATTCATCTTGTATATGTACTGGTATGTACATGTACATGTGCCCCTCGTTCATTGTGGCATTTTGATTTTTATCTTGAAAATCCATTTTAAGTACATGAATGAATATTCGCACTTACAAGTGTCGTAGGGTTGGAAGCTATTTGTGCAATGACTCCAGCGTGGGCTGGGGTGGTGGTTGCAAGTACGGTACATGAACAACTGCTGATGATGGATGGGTCATTCAATAATGGAGACACTAGGGGAGACTGGAGCAAGTCTAGGCCATTTGTGCCAGACAGTCCTTGATGTTGTTTGCTATCTTTGTGTCTGGTGTCATGTCAAGTGCATGGCCGTGTCATGTCATGGGGGGAGGAGGGCACCCCAAATTGGATTGGTTGCCACACATGTTGAAATATGGCCAGGAAGCAGTCAATTTATGGTGTCAAAGTTATTTATTTCCAGATTGGTGTATCTTTTCTAGCCTTCTGAATCATTGGAATAACCAGAAGAGCCTAAAAATGAAAACCCTCTGTAAGTTTTCTGTGAGAAGTACTGTTTGTGTTGGATTTGTTTGGGAGAATATGACATGAATAACAATTTGGCCATCTCTTAGTGGGCTTTCAATAACCAGGTGTAAGTTATAAGATTTGGCTATACATCACATGTGCTATTCAGAAATGGTTGTGAATTGGATCAACTTGATCCAATTTTGCCACAAGTATACAGGTATATACATTCCCCAGAAATTGACATGGATGTGGTTTTGTTATTTACTTATTGGCTTTTTTTTAACTTGTTCATTTTTGTGTGTGTACAGGCAGCTGATGAGGACAATGTCATGTACATTGATGGCAGTGGGGATGGTGGGGAACCGGGCAATGTGGCAGAAGCCGGAACACCCGATGACGAGGACAACACAGAAGTACCCGGCGAGATAGGATCAGGTACCGTGGGGCCCGGCACGAAGGCCGCAGGTAAGAGGACAAACTGGGTTATGCAATAGTGGCAGTTGTTGGGAGTTCAGAGGAATCACTCATTGGGTAGAACACTGATAAACGAGCAGTGGAGACAAAGGTTTGGCTCTGGATCATTGATTGGTTGATAATTCATTCTTGACGTTGAACTATTGCCGGCACATGCCGGTAGGTGTAGGCATTTAACAGCTTTGGCTAGCCCAATGCCAAGGGGACACATTCTTTTGGTAGGAAATGTCAGACTGACTTGGAGGGACAATAACAAGTTTGCCCCTGTAATAATTATTGTTCAACTCTTGTAGTGCCTACAACCCCAGTACCAATATGTGTGTGTTTGTGTGTAAAGTGATGAAGTATTTGGTCAAAAACCTCACAACGCCACGGACTGAAAACTAACAGTAAAGTTTACTGGTAAGATGACAAGGTGTGGTGGAAAGGTGTTCTGAGAACGTACATGTACAGATGGGATTAAAGACCGTGTATAGGATTTGTAAGATCTCAAAAACGGGACTGTCGGATTATCTTGAAATTTCTCAGGGTAAAGTTAGTACCTGGTACATAATGGTGTCAGACAGTCTGTAAAATTCTACTGCCAGGAATGCTGTCATTTTTGAGAAAAGAGAAAATTCATATTTTTTTCCAAAGATTGTCCGTTCAGACGATCTTTAGCAAATACAATTCGTTCCACTACCGTAACCATTAACAGACACAAAGAAAATGTGTGTGAAGCATTGAGCTGTTGGAAGAGTCTATATCAACAGGTAAGGTACAAACTGCCAATGTGCCTTTGGTGTGCCTAAACTGCAGTATTAACTAATAAAATAAATATATAACCATAACTAACGGCCTAAAAGAGAATTTGGACTGGTTTGATATTTGAGGTTTCTTTTGAAACTGTGGAAGTTTATCTCATGAATTTATCATTGTAACATAACCCCTTAAGATTATGGTATGGTCCAAATACATGGGTAGATCATGGTCGCTCCTTTGAGCTCCCTGGTTTTCTCAAACAAAATTTTCAATTTCGAGACATTTAGCTTTCTATTTTTCCAGTCACAGTAACTCTTAAGCCCAAAATGCAAGGATAGTTGCCACATTTGCTGATTTATAAAGTGTTCATGATGGGGGTTGCCACATTTGCTGATTTATAAAGTGTTTATGATGGGCACCAGCGGTGTGTGGAGGGTTTTTGCCCGACATGGGAGGCTACAGTACATACACTGTACAGTATGAAGAGTGAACAAATTCTTTGATTGTGCGGTATGCACATGTACTGGTACATGTACACTGTGCATTTTGGTTGCTCAGTGACTGTGGTGACTGCAGTCAACTCACTGCACGATGACATGGTCTTTATTCAACAAAATCTTCAGTGTTGCATTGCCGAAGAGGAAACACAAACTTCAAGGTAAATTTACAAACCACTATCACTGCTCAATACCATAGAAAAAATGCATTTTTGAGAGCTACAGTTGTTCTCCAGATTGACTGTGCACTATTGTGGAACTCAGGAAAGTCCTGTGGCCCATGGACTTTTGCGAGACAAATTACACGAGTTAGGCTTCGAGTGTTAACAATTTTTTCTCAATTTTCCTCAAAGCAGTGAACTCAAAAAATGAAAGGGGTCCTTGAAATGATACACAAACTAAATCACAAACCAAAAATTGGCAAATTCTGACAATTTACAATACATGTACCAGTAAATGCAAATCCTATACACTGCTTTTAAGTGCTTGAACTGTTTGGGGACCACCTTACCAGATAAAGTCTGAAAACGGTGGTCCTCAATCGCTAAGAGAGAAGGACTGTAGCTAGTTTTATTAACCTTCAAATCAATTGAAAAGGGTACAGAAATTACCAAGAGCCATTGTGTCATGGTAATGAGCTGGAAGTACACTGTACATGTACAGCAGGTGGATCAGCCATATGTACATGTACATTGTACAGTACACTACACACCTATGTCATGGGGTGATACCTCTGTTGCATTGAAATATTCAAGTCTTATTCTGGCTGAGGCTAGAGGGTCATGGGCATTGCTGAAAGAAGCTCTTAAGGAAAAAAAGGGGTGAATTTTTGGTGTTATTCATGGATACAATAACCCTTTGCCAGCTTGGCACAATAGAGATCAACAAGGAAATCTGATAGCTTGGCTGGTTGTATAGATGCCTGTCACTTTGGATTTATTAGGATGCATGTCAGGAATTGGGAATGAAAACCAGGGGAAAGAATCAAACTGGAGGACTTGCCATATGTGATTTGCATGAAGGACAGGAATTCCACACAAGCACTTCACAGAATTGCTGAATTGAAGAGAGCAAATGAAACGACAAACCACATCCAGCATATACATGTCAGGTCCTTCCTGTTGGAAAGAAAAGTAGGTTAGAAGTGATCCAGATGCAGGCAGGGCAGTAACCGCTGAAACTGGTTTCCTAGCCTTGAGCCCTTTTCGCACGACGACAAAAAACTCGCAAGGCTCGAGAAACTTTCTTATGCTTGAGGAATCTTTCAAAAGTGCCATCGTGTGAAAGGTCGGCAATGCTTGAGAGTGACAAGCATTCCTGGTGAATCCTTGAGATATTTTGGAGGAGGTCCGGACCTACGACAAAATCTTCCACTAGCGGAAGATTTCTCAAGCAACCCATGAGAAACGGTTGTGTGAATGGACGCACTGTTTATTGTACAACGTCCCCTGCGATAACCTACACAGTGCGCATGCGGAGTGACCTGCAACCTCACACAGCGCGTGCATTCCCTTATACTGTCTCTGTAGTGTCGTTTCAGGTATGTCCTGCGATTGTGGCACTGCTTGCCGGTGCAATCGGGAATACCTCCCGTGACTTCCCGCCACACGTGGCTATTGTGGACCATGCCGTCCATTGTCGCCGTAATTGCAGCATTTCCATGGCAGTTATAAGGCTGAGAGTCTCATCATACTCCCAGCCCTTCTTGGAACTTTTCAGCTTCTTGGTACTCCCCGAAACATCGGTTTCGGGAGAACGTTTTTTCGTCTGCAAGTTTGACTCTGCCGATGTAGCGTCAGCCAGTTTTCATCGATGCTCTCCAATCTTTGACCTCACATTGCGCTGGTACTAGTGGTATTTACGCTCAGTAAGTGTGGAGTTCACCGACAACCCGCGGAATAAGTGTTCGCGTCTCAAGGAATGCTTGAGAAATGTTACACGGTGCCGTGTGAAAGGACACGATCACGGTTTGTAAAGTAAACAATCAAATGTGTCTCAAGCCTTGCGAGTTTTTTGGTCGTCATGCGAAAAGGGCTTTTGCCGGTCACCAGTTCAAAATCACAGAGTTTATTCCCATCTGCTCCAGTGCGTGCGAAATACGAAAGAACAAGGGTCCACCCCAGATAGCTTCAAATATGCAGCTCTTCATAAGAAAATCAAATTATGTACACACATGTACACGTACGTGTATGTTTGGGTTGAAAAGTCCACAGAAATACCAGAACTGCGATGATACCAGAGTAACAGGCCATAAACCCCCTAAAGCACATACCGGTATAAAATTCCTGGTTGGGAAAGCAAGCTGCTCTTATTAATGTACATGTGCAAAATGCGAAACATCTTACAGTTACCCGTACGTGTACATGTTTTTAGCACATGTAAAGATTTCAGAATGCTCATCCAAACAATTTATGCCGTGGCTAACTACTTTCATTTAAACATTTCTGAAGCCTTAAAAGGAAGACCTCAGTGTTGGCAAGTTCAGGCACCGAGTCTGGTGCTGTTTACCCGGACCGAAGCTCAGCTTTGTTTAACTTTTTTTTTTTTAAAGCATCCCTGCTGCAGTAATCAACATAATTTTTTTTCGCCAGCCAGGGCGAAATCCCCAAGCTCACATTACAAGGTATGAAAGGCCACTTCCAGGGGCCCTGTTGTTTACGGCACGTTCTTGCACCAGAATTGTCATACCCCGTGGGGTTCTGTGGGCTGCCCCTTTCAAAGGCGCTGTAAATTTCTTTTGCTGTTCTTCCAAAGGGGAAAGATGTCGAATAGGGCGTTGCCAAATATCAGAGTATTGGATTGATTATCGAATATTGGAATGTTATTTTCCGAATTTGAATATTTGAATGGAACATTCATGAAAAGGAAGGGAGATTGTTTTTGTTTTCAGTGAGAAAAATTACACTAATGAAAATGAAAAGCGACAGAATAATGTATCTTACAGCGATTCAAAAAGTAAATTATTCTTTAAAAAATTTAGAAGGAATTTTCAATAGGGCAAGAAGTATTGTTCATCTGTTAAATCAGGCTGGAGATACATGTACTGCTAAGGAGTGGGAAGCTATTTTACTTATTTTAATGTACCATTGTGTGCATTATTGCAACTGATGGTTTGTTCATCTACAATCTGCTGGTCAGTACGACCGAATAATCGGATAGTCAATCGAATTGAAGGTCGAATATTCGAATAGTAAATTATTCGAATTGACTAAGCCCTAATGTTGAAAAGAAATCGGGAGAGATTTAATGCCAAACAAGAAAAATGAAACATTTCCTCATTCCTGTTTCAGAAGTTTAATTACTCTTGTGTCATTGGTTGAATGTCGGAGAAATTTTCCATTGAAAGCTTGCCACATAATAAAGGTAAAATAGTCCAACTTCGAGAAAGAAAGCAGTGTTACTTCATTTGTATGCACATGTATTAAATTTCATTTATAATGTACATGTACTATGCGTTTTGTACATTTCCTACACTTAAAGTTTGTGGGAACTTACATGTATAAAGACAAAAAATGTTAACAAACACAAAAGCTGTTTTATCAAATTGTAGAAACAACAAGCAGTTTCAAGTCTCATTGAGGATGTTCTGTTATGTTGACTGCACTCGGTCACCTTGGGCTTCACCTTTTCATAATTGGCTGGCTCTGGGGGGCATCAGGCACAGTTCCAGGCAGAGCTTGGTACCGTACCTTACAACTATGTACATGTATGCATCAGGGCTGGCCTCAGCTGGCATAAATAACAAACAACCAGCCCAGTCTTTAAAGGTACTGGATGGTGAGAGAGTTTTCAGGGCTGCACAGTTCGGCCTGTGTTAACCCTCAAAGAGCCGGGTTATTTTGGCCCATCTTGGGGGAGGGGGGAGGAGGGTTTCAATGTGCTCATTTGTCTTTGAAACTTGAATCCTGGTAGCTTACAAAAGACACTCCTTATCATTACATATTTGGAGTTTGATTTCAATCAGACATACAGGTACATGTACTCTAGTATTTGAATCTCATAGGTACATGTACATGTACATACCGGTATGTTCCAACCTGTGTGCATTGAGTACCACAGTGGAAAAGATGAATGTATACATTTTGGGCTGACTTTTCTCAGAGAAATGGGCACTGCACAACAGTACATGTCCATGTATTTTCAATTTTCACAAATTGGTTTCCAAATGACTGCAAAGAATTTCTCTATAGAGTCCTTAAAACTCGGCTCCTGAAAAAAGGCACTTTGGTGATTTAGATGTATGTTGGGGGATACTGCGTCTCTCCCCACCCCACTCTTAGGGTTAATGCACATCATGGATGATGGTGTACAGATTTCTGATTGAGGTACTGGTACCAAAAAATCTGCCCCTTTTTAACAGTGTTGGTTAAGTACCGGTACAGTTTGATTCAAAGGAGACATGCAGTGGATATTCAGTGCAACTTGTTTTCATGCATATTACTATGTAACAACAAAGCAAACGATCTACTGGTAAATTCCTTTGTTTTTGTCGAAAGTGAAGAAAAAGTGGTAGTTTTTCAATTCTTAGAAAATACTTTCCTCACTGTGTGCGCGAGGGCACTAATGTCCAAACAAGCTGTTTATGAAAACATGAAAACCAAGTACAAAGTGGAACCTTGTTTGTGTACATGTACATATACGTAAACCGTACTCCAAGAAAATGTTGAAAATTCAGATATTTTATACAAAGCAATTTAGAGACACACCTGTTCTGCCTTGAATGACACCACACTGGATCATGAGTGCATGGACATCTTCATTAGCAGAAAAATCCAAACTTGAAATTTCTCCCTTTTCTGTGCTCTCGAAGATCCTAGAATTGTTGTTGTCTTTTTTTTTTTTCTGTAGGTGATCTTCAAACACTGAAAGGTACCGGTAAGATGCATGTACATGTACTTGGAATTTCATTCTTTCCATTTGGATTACAGTCTGGAACCGTGGCATGCAGCTTGGGCAAATTGCATTACAAATCTGTCACTCGCTCTCCCGTTCAATGTTTTGTTTACATGTGAATGCATGGCTTGCAGTGTTCACACTTTGGCCTTGCCAATAAAAAGAGCATTTTATGCTACTTGGAATGAAATGCATGTACACTGTACATGTACACTGTACATGTACATGTATGTACCATACATGCTGGTTTGCAGCCAGCAAAGATTAGACAATACCCAGCATTTTAGCTTCGAGCGCATACATGTTTTTGCAGCCACTGTTAAAAGGCGCAGTCCATCAGTTGAGCTCACAATCTAAAGAGGCTTGATTTATGTACCACTAACTTTATGACATTTGAGTTCAGTGAATGCTGTACTGGTATATTCTGATAAAAACAATGTCTCAATTTCAAATAAAAACATTGCAGAGTCATGCTTAGAAGTGCACTTAAGTGCAGCATCTGGGACACGCTCTCTTAATAGTCTTATTCACCTGATTGTACCGGTACATGTACCTACATGTACATGTACATGCACCTGTACTTGAATACTGCACACTGAACTGATGGATTATAGCAACGCACACATGTGTATTGTGTCATTGCTTGCACATGCTTAGCCAAATTAAAACAAACTGCTAAATGGTAATTGCCAAAACTGCATCTTGGGACACGTTGTTTTTAAGATGATTGCTTGCCTAAAAGAACTATTTCATTTTCAAGAACATGAAAGCAGTCCTATAACTAACTCTTCAAACTAAGTACTGGTATTTTATGAACAGCTGCACATGCCGGACTGTACCTTAAAATTGTTCAGTGATAAATGGAAAGGTTGTCTGGCCAGTCATTCAGGATTCTTGGCAGAATTTGTAAATATTTGCCATTTGGTGACAAGGGCGACTGACAACTGGAACTGTGAGTTGGGATGTTCCCTCTTACAGAATTTCTGTCTCCATTCCTTCCTCTACCCTAAGATCTCTTCCCCTCCCCCTTTAAGCTGAAACTCCCCTGCAATCCTGAACGATTCCCTATCATTCTGCAGCTAAATTGTGGTGGTGTGCAGTTTCCAGATGCTGATCCTGACATTGGCCTTAAAAATGCACATGCTAGGTACATGTACAGGCTACCAGAGCGGTGTGTCATCAAAAGGGACTAAATGGCCCCGCCAGGGTAGAGTGGCCTCAGTTTAATATGATTGATGAGTGAATGTGATCTGAGAAGGGTTTAGAGAGTGTCATGGGAGGGTACTTTAATTGGTTGTCTTGGGCATGTCATGAGGCTTAAGGATTGGAGCAGGATTATGAGTGGGCTTCCTCAATTTGTGACTGCTGGAGCATGGCCAAGCTCCATTGAACTGCTTATGGGTAGTTTCTTAAACTTTAACCCTATATACATGTGCTCTACATACTGGTACAACAATATCTACATGTATGTGTACTCCATCAACAGAATTGGTTTGGCTCTCATACATGTACTTCTGAAAGGAAAAGGAAATACATGTAGGTATATCTTACATTTACGGGAGAGGGGGGAGCTCCTGGATTCTGTTGTGTTCAGCAGTCAGCAGGCTTCTCATGTTCACTCCTTGAGTTTGGGTGGGATCCACATTTTGGTATTGATAGATTCTGTGGGATTAACAAGGATTCTGTTTGGAAAGGTTTCGATTTTGTTGGATTCCACACACTGCTGTTTGTGCATGTTGAGGTACCGTACTCTGCACCCATTTACTTTACGGTTGGTGGACTTCGTTGGATTGGCCAGGAATCTGTTGGATGAGTTAGGATTCTGTTGGATTGTGGAGGTTCCACACATGGCTGTTAGACTGGGAGCAGTGTGGAATTTCCTTTACAGGTGCAAGCACCTAATCAGCAGAAATTAGATCAAGTTAGTACCCTATTAAATCAAATTGTAAAGAATGATGTTTGGAAAGTTTGAATTACATGTACTACGTGTGTTTCAATTATCTGGAACCTTGTCTGGTTTGGCAAGCTGTGGAAATATAGGAAACTATCCAGTCCACTGTTTGGAGCCAGTCCAAACGATTCATTTCTGGTGGACAGTATTTTGTGATTGGCAAACTGCCAAAGGCCATGAGAAGGATGTTTCCCCCCGTAGACTTTTTTCAAACTGCTGTTCAGCCAGATTTGTTGGAGTTCACAAATTCTAGAACAGCCGAGAGGCAGTCTGTGAACTGTGATTGCTAGAAGCTACCGGTATCTCCAGGGAGCAAAGTTCAAGATTACAATGCCAAGTTCACTGTGCTTGGTTTCCTCTTGTTTTCAGAACAACAATGACTGGTCATGGTGGAGAAGAGAAATTAACATCCTTTCTTTCCCCCTCCCTTCAAAACCTGTCACCCCCCCCCTTCAAAACCTGTCATTCGGATAGAACCACCAATAAAGGATGGAAAGTAACAAATATGAAGGCAAAGCGGTTAAATTGCATTCACATCAAGGCTGTTGTCACCAATCGCGGCCATTTCAGCATCAGTCACCAACGACACTTTAATCGCATCCCCTCTGGTTCTTTCACGCCAACCGGCCTTCCTGTCCCTGTCCCCCTCCTGTGTTTTCCCACGTCCCTGCTATTTTGGGAGCTTCTGCAAATCTTGGAATCTCTGTGTGAAATTCTAGCTGGATCTCTGGCTCTCGGGCCCCCAAGTCATTATGCAGACAAAAGAAAACCCACCTGGACCACGCTGGGGCTGTAATTCATTTCACGTGAAGGACTTCCTCAGGACTTTACAGTGACTCAGAACAAAGACACATCCCTGCTGGTTGCCGTTTATGAAGCTTGGATAAATCTGTAAACTTGCGCTCAGTAGAGGTGGGCCAACACTTGTGGGAAATGATTATAAATGAACCGCCGGTCTACAAGAAATTGTGGTATGCAGCGGTGGCCTTTTACAGCACTACCAGTACATGTAGGTGCATCTGGAGAAATGTTCAATTTGTCATTATCTTGAATCATTTTGGACCTCATTTACTTGTCTCTTCTTATGTGGAATGCTCGGGATTATTTTATTTATCTTTGACAGATAAGAATATACACGTACATGTATGTACATGTACTGTATGTTGTGAAAAAGAAACCTTCCTCTGTTTTTATTTTGCAGAATGCAAAGTGAAATTTATCATCTTGATATGGTTTGGTAGGAATTTATGTTGAAGATTTGCTTGCAGTATGTATGGATATGCATGTGCTGCATCTGACCCAACAAAGTCTAGAAAAGGAAACCTGTTCCTCTCTCGTTCACTAATAATGTTAGCACCAAAAAACCTGTAATTAACTACATGTAGCTAGATAAACACTGCAGTTCACTCTTCCCTAAAAATACCCAAGATCTATGTTATAAACAGAGTTTTTAACCAGTCTAATAGTGACAGGCAATATTATTTGACTCACAATATTTGATGCTCAGTATTATTTGATGTGCGATATTATCTGACTTTTTTCAAACATCAGGTGAAATGTCAAACTGTCAGGCAGCTGGTAAAAGAATGACAGTTTGTTATTACTCCTACCTCCGATGCAAGGACCATCTTCAATTTTGTTCTCCATCAATGCATATCAGCCCCTGGATCAAACTCGATGACCCCAATAGGCCAGGTCTAGTTCAGTCCTTCCAGTGGCCATCCCAATTCCAATCACTTTTCATGATGTTTCTTCAAAGATGTCCATCCAAGTTGAAACCAGAAATGACAGTACGGTGGCCTTGACTGGGCATCTTAAATCTCCCTTAGTACTGTTGAGGTTCCCTTAACCTTGACCCCACAGTATTCTCTAAAATTTTTTGTTGGGGATTTGAAATTTTGATACCCAAATTTGCCTTGAAATAAAACAGGGCATCCACTTTGCTTTATACATGTTTAAAAATACATTCGCATTAAAAAATGAGGTGTCCAAAATAACACATAGGATGCCCAAATGATACCTTAACATTGGTTGGCCAGAAACCTGGACTTGTTTGGAATGTTTATACAAGACTGCAGATCACATTTTCTGACCCCCAAATGCCATGACATAGTTTTAACATTTCAAGAATTCTCAACCCTCTCCTCTCTGACTCCTGAGAGGTTCCATGCAAGTGTGTTTACCAATCACATCAGATAAACAAAGTGTTCTGTTTGCCAGCCAAGCACAATAAACAAAGCACAGTCTTGACAGGGATCAGCCAGCAGACAGACGGACAGACAGACAGACACCCACTCTGGGACATGCGAACAGTTTACCCCTGCCTGGCCCTCAAATTATGAGCTTGAGTCAGAAAAAGGAAAAATCTACCGCATATACACTGTACATGTAAACATGCAAAATTCTTCTGGGTTTGAACTAAGGTGCTGTTTATAAGCAGGAAACCGCTGCATATTAACACAGCCAGTCTCTAGCACATGTATATGTACAGTATATGTGGTGTGCTATCCAAGGTATGGTACATGTACATGTACCGGTACATGTACTTGGGCTGGTTACCTGTCTTTGCTAAGCTGCTATTCTCTGTGCTCAGTTATTGTCTGTGAATAACAACTCCTCGAACTTGGCCCCGGGCTGTAAGTGCCAGCCAGAAGAGCCTGCCTGTCAACGCTAAACAGCCAGTGGTAGTGAACCCACCTCTCTCTGCTGGCTTTGGAGAGCCAGGCTCTGTTTTCTCCAATTGAAAGCAAGGAGACGCCAGCAGATAAAAGTGTGTTCTGTTGCACCCTGGGATTTGTTATGCCACCTGTGCTTTGAATGGGGCAGAAGTAGGAATGTCACTCTCAAACATTGAAGTGCAGTTACAATGCACCTTTACTACTTGGGCCTCTTGCTACATGTATGTAAAAAAAACATACAGTAGCACACATGTGTACTGTTTCATTTACATACCGGTACATGTAGGACTTCTTCATTATCGTCTTTGTTTTCCAGTGGCCGAGGGTGCTGTTGCTGTGATGTCACTTTGGGCACTCTCTTGACTCTTTAAAACACTTCGTCAGTTTTATTTGTATGTACATGTGTGTATTTAGTGGCCTGCCAGCAAGAACTGTGCTTGTAATTTGATCCTATCCATCCCGAATTCTCCAAGAGTGAGAGGAGTCAATATTGTAAGGGCTGAGGAGTTTCTGTACAGGGGACATGCAAAGTGTCACTGTGATAATTATCACTTAAAATATCACCATGATAATGCAGAAAAGTAAAGTGTGGTGTCATTTTGAACGGAAAGTGTAATGCAAATGAATGGAGGACAGGTGCATGTTGGTTCTTGTGCTGCTTCTTGCTCCACTGCTTTTTGCACACCTAGCTGTGTCCAAGACATAATTTATTCGCTTCGGTATTATATAATTGTCATATTGTAAAATAAAAGTTTTGGCTCACATTGCAGGGAAATGCACTCGGCACAAAAAGAAGCTGCTTAATATGAACGGGCTCCCGGTTAATGCCCTATGCACTGTTAATATGTTTGACTGGCTACATGCACCTTATCTTGGCCCACCCAGTACATGTGGCATAGAAGTGCATTTGCTGAGCAATATTGTCTTTGTTGACAAGTTTGTGAGGATGAAGAGAAGTCCTGTGTGCATGTCTTAAGATAGATACATGTACATGTACCAGTTGGGTTTTGCCATGCCTGGGATGTGACAACTAAACCATGGTCTCCCTGTGCTGTGAATGAAACACCTCATGTGAAAATGAATCATTGCCCTCAAGCTTTTGCTACATATACCTCAAATGCTTCTATCCTAATTGTTTGTGTCAGTTTTTGTAGAGTTGGGAGATGTACATTTGCACAGCCGCTGTACCCTTTATTTGATTGCAACGGCACCATTGTGAATGCTAGAGCAATGTGTAATGACTCTTTGCAGAATGAGATTTGCCAAACTTAAAAAACACTCTTTAACCCTAACCCCCAAGCATATTGTTTGGCTTGCACTACACAGTACTACAAAATACTAAGTAGTGGTCTGACCCTGAAGGACCTAGCGCTACAGATTACTACTTCTGGCTAGGTTACTTCCATTGTTACTTGTATAGAGAACAATAAAACCATGCATTCATGGTGCCACAGCACTGTATGGTACATTGTCTTACCTATCGTATCTTATGGCTTCACAGAACAATAAAGTCATGTCCTCTTACAAGCGACAGCGCTCAGTACTACATTTTACTACAAGTAGTAATTTGTAGTATTATATAGGGTTAGAGTTATTCTTAGTTGGCATAGAGCTGGATGACCAACCTCACACCACATATTTACATCATTGTTGTTTTTTTTAAAATTGGTGTTCATAACATGAACACCAAAAAAAAAGGTGTACCTGTGATTGGGTTTATGCACCTATTCATGTGTACAAGAAGATTGTAATTGCTTAGTATTTATAAAGATTGCCAAGCCAGCTGTACAGAAAGTTGCCAAACAAAAAAAATAAAGGCTGAGCAAAATTGGGTTTCCAGTTGATAAATACCCCCTTTTTTTTACTTGGTGTGATCAGTTGCCAGGGAATTTTTGCTTAGCATGCCAATTTGTTAAGCAGGGAAATTGCTTGTACCCCGGTACTGCTAAGTTCTAGAAAGAGGAGCCAGCCAGCATGTTGTGCAGGATAGAGCTGTCCTCACCCAAGCAGTGGATGAATGTACAGTCGAACCTCATTAATAAGCGCTCTGTCGCTACAACATTCTGCTTATAAGGACATTTTTTGGTCCTATTACCTTTGTTCTTCGTTATTTTGCTTCTTGTTATAACAAGGTAACCTGCTAAGTCTGAAGGACCTCTTAATGAAGTTCAACTGTATATGTACCAGTTAGGTTCTTAGCATTGATTTACTTGTTCAGATTGGAAACCTCACTGATTTCTCACATTTTTCCATTCGTTTGCAGCATCCGTCAAGCTGTCGTTCGATAATACCATCCGGATCACAAAGATTGGCAATAGAAGGGCCAACTTCATTGAAACCTACAGGGATCCTAATTCAGTTGAATCGTTGGAAGTCTTCAACCAAGTGTGCTCTGTGGTGAGTTGTTGGGTTGTTTCAGGGCTGTCTGTACGCTATTTCTATCTACATGTAGCTGTACGTGTTGCCCATCAAGTTGTCTCCCCCTCCCCCCATACGGTCACCCCCACCCATCCACGCCATCCCTTTGGTCCCATCCTGTCTGCTCTCTGCCTCCAATCTGATTATAAACACCAGAAAAGGTTGAAGTGTTGACTGTGTACTTTGAATCTTCAAGCAGAACTCTCCACGATTCTGGTACAGTCTAATGATTAGTACCCAAAGTATACACAGTAATGTTAAACACCAAAAGAGAAGTAACATGTTCACTATAATTTGGTACTCTAAGTAACAGTAAAGTCCTGGTGAAGTCTGTCACAAGCCAGTGTGGTCCCTCAGGCTGGCATTTATTCCTGGTGTCTGCCGACTGCCAGTCCATTGCAGGTTACTTCCCAACAAATTTGGGCTCTCATTTGATATGCCTGGGTAAAGAGAGGCAAGTGGGGGTGAAGCAGCTTGCCCAAGGACACAACCTGTTGCCAGCAGGTGGATTCGAACCCCCGACTTGCTGATTAAGAGTCACAAACGCTAAGCATTTGACCCCACTCCCACCCACTAGAATACAGTAACCGTACAGTGTGACTTGATTTGCTGCATTGTTCTGATTCATTTTCTGTTTTTGCACACAGCTGACAAGCTCAAACCAGCTGACCAGCCGGGCAGAATCCTGTGTGGGTGTGTCTATCACTGAAGGCAGCCTGGTGGTCACCACTAAGCTCACCTTCCCAGAGGACACTGAGGCCACATCTGCAGCTGTTGAGAGTGCCATCCTGGAGAGCGTGACCGACCAGACAGCATTGACAGTAGATCTGCGGAGCATTACAGTTGAGCCCAGCATATCAGGTCAGTTCCTTTCAGTCCGGACTCAACAACTCAACCTCCTGCAAATAGCCTTGGTTCAACAATGTTGAACACTAGGAACTGAAGACCATAGGGGGGCTGTTCATTGTCTGGACATGTGAAACGGACACAAAAGTCAGTTGTCAGGTGTAACAATCATGCATGCACTGGCCCAGTTATGAAATATTAGGTCAGCAACCATGCCAAAGTTCAATTTTTCATGAAATTCTGAAAAAAAAAGTTCTGTCAAAGTACCTTATCCCAAATATGTAATACCTTCCAATTTTCAGAGTTTCAGCTGCATACCTTCTTGAAATGTGGTACTAAAGTGTCCATTCCGTAAATAGAAAATATTTCAAAATATTAACTGTCCCATATCCTTGAAACTCCACTGGGAGGTTTTTGGAGGATTTTGAAGGGCTGAGAAGGTAGACACCATCCATTATTAGTTATTTGACATGATACCCTGGGAAAATTCAATTACAAGGATAGTGCTGTGTGGTTCCTGCAAAGTGGCTCATGAAGGTTCTTTGTTGCAATGTAACAAAAGGCAGAATTAAACAGCTTGGCAATTTGAACTCCCTAAAACTAAACCCATGCAACCTGACAAATTATTTACGTCTTCCTTCCTAACAGAACCAGAAGGTACTGAAGTTGTCGAGCCACTAGAACCAGCCACCAAGCCTAAACCTAAAGTAAGTCAATGAAGAAAGTTTGATGCTTTCATAAATTGTTCAGCCCTAAATGAACTGTTGTTTAGGACCTGATCTCAATGCAGGTGAGAAGGCTTGGGTGCCATCTTGGCTCTCTTGGAGTCAAACATAAGAACCACCCAATTAAACTGTCTTCATCTTACATGGGTCTGATGCAAACTTGTTTGCCTTTTCCTTAACGGGTTTTTTCTTTGCAGAAATTGATCAACCATTTTCTTGTGTAGATGCAGAAAGCCCTGTTCTTATATTTATCGGCAACACGTTGAGTGAAAAGATGTGCTTTGTTTTGGGGCAGTTTGTGTTAGAATTTGTGAAGAAGTCTAACGGTGATTGAGAACTGGGAAGACACTAAACCTCCCTCTCAGTTTGGGTCAGGCATCGAGTTCCATTTGGCAGGGGATTTTCTAAATTCCTGATTCTTCTTTCCCTCATTGTCCTTCACAGGAACCAGACACTCCTTCACCATCAAGACCCAACAAGGGTAACCAGGACAACGACATCTTCTTCACGGCCACGACTGACAAGCCGGCTCACAGTGGCGGCAATGCCACGGTGTCCAATGAGATCAACGATGTGAACCACGACAACAGTCTTGGTGTCAAGAACGAGAAGGAGAAAGAGCAGGACTTCTTTGAAATGATCCTGGGTAACCCAGTGCTTTTAGCTGGTAAGTTCACCTCCTGCTAGTCGATCAAATCCTGTCAGCAACATCTGTCGTCTTTTTGCTGGTCTCTCCAATCAGACATAAATTGTTTCTTTTTTGGGAGGAGGGGGGATGGGAGAGGGGTCCAAGCCTATGTCAAATCATGACACTGTTGATGCTGCCGTCAATCTGAGAAGTATGCTGAAATATGACTTGCATACCTCTCACTGGAGCGCATGCACGACTGATTCCCGCCACATCACCTCTCATTTCAGCACACCCAAGGACCGGACATTTTCTGGCCTTCAGTTCAGGATATTATTTGGCAAACTTTGCGGCTCTGAAATTCGTCATTCCTATGGAGTTAAGGAGCGCCTCTAAGGAAAACATTTTTTCTCTGGTTTTATGTGTTCAAATAAATATGGAAGCATCCAAACCTTTGTGCATGCCAAACAGCGGCTACAAACAACTATAACAAGTTAACAATGCATGTAGCCATTGTTTGGCATGCACAAGGGATTATCCACTACAAACACAGGGCGAGGGTTCCCATGTTTTCTCTCTTTTCTCTGAATGGCGCAATCTACATTCAGAATTTGCATCTTGGCATGAACGGAAAAAAAGCCCTTTTAAGCTTGTTATAGTTGAGCTCTGAAGACAAATGACACTGCGTTCAGTTTGGATGCTTCCATATTTATTTGAACAGATAAAATCAGAGAAAACATGTTTTCCTTAGAGGTGCTCTTTAACGGCACTTCAGCCTTCAGAGTACCTTCCCGTTGTGCTCACCCACAAATTTTCAACACTGGATTGGGTCTTTTTCCCTCCAGCTCTGGTTGGCGCTGTTGTACTCACACTCATCACCATCATCCTCATCATAATGTTCATGATCTACCGCGTTAAGAAGAAGGACGAAGGCAGTTACTCACTGGACGAGCCCCACAAAGTTAAAGACCCAACAACCTACTGGAAGGACACCAAGGAATTCTATGCATAAATAATGTTAACATCATTCATTTTCCTTTCTTTTCTCCTCCTTTTTGGATTTGTTACTTTCCGCATTAATTTATCAGAGATATACTTGGGTTGTATTTTTGATGACTTGCCTTGTGTTGTGAAACAGTATGGGATCTATGCGTGAACTAACGAGGGCAGTATTCAATCTGTTCACAAGAGTCAAGTAAGGCCACCTGGACAGTACTTGGGAACTGCTTTGAAACACCAAGATGTAACACGAAGTGGTTGTTATCCTTTTTTGTGCTGGTTATCGCGTGGTCAGCTTTTTTGTTGAAGGGTCTTTGGCTTTGTACATCTTTTCTTGTTTTTTAAATGGTTGGGTTGAAATGAAGTTATTTGAGCATAGTCGCATTGTATCAAATAGGAATTGAGGTATAGTTTGGCTCTGTTTGAAATGCAACAATAACCCCAGAAAATGTTTGAATTACCAATGTCCAGATTAACTGATGCTTGTTAATTCTACTGTCAGTTTAATAAGGTGTCAAAAGGAGTATGGACTAAGATGGCAGATAGACTTATCCTTGGAGAAGTTGGTCTCGTAAAAATTGGAAAAAAAAATTTCATGCCTGAAGTGAAGTTGAGTTTGTATTTTTCTATGCATTGCCTGGATGTAATGGTGTTGGTTTTGAATTATTGGGCTGGACTTTATGGGGGTTAGGTTTGTCTTGGATTTGGGAAGAAGAGAGAAAGTGTACAGTTAAGTGCTTAGAGAATGAATCAGTTTCCGGGGAAGCTTGTATAGACGTGACTGAAAATGTTTTTATTCTTGGCTGTTGCAGTGTGTTAGTCTTTCCCACCATTTTCAATGAATAATTATCATGTACAGAAGTAAAAGAAATAGTAGGGTTTTCCTTTGTAGTTAGGTCAGTAAAAGTAAACCTTGCAAACAGTTAAATGGTTACACTGTTATCATTGGTGGAAAGAATATTTCTGTTTAATCTGGCTAGTCTGTAGACAAGATAGACTTAGTCATTTGAAGCCAGTTTTAAAGAAGTTGTCATTTTTATATCAAGGGATTTTTGCATCCTTGGGTGCTCAACTGCGTGGAAGTCATGGAACCACTTAAACGGAAACTATCACTAAGGGTGTTTATATGCTAAGCAGAAGTCAGCGGAAGACCAATCACAATTAATACACTTTGTACGGTAATTTTGCTGGTAATCCGCTCTTGCTCAGCACGTAATCTCTGAGCTTAGTAGCTCCATGGTGTGTGTCCTGTAGCGGTTGCAGTTTAATGGTCGGCCTTTCGGGGTTTTTAAAACTTTTCTTTGAAGGAATTTGAAAGTTCTTTGTATACCCTTCTTTTGCATCCATTCTTTGGTGTTCTGTCCCTGAAATGGACTGGGTCAAGAAATAGTTTTCTCTTGTTGGCAATAATTTCAAGGTGTTTTTTGTACTGTTCTCTTGTTGGTTTGTTGTGCTGAAAATTTGACACAAGCCTATGAGAAACATAATTGTTTATCTAGGTGAGATGTTTGTAGCCTACAGTCCTACTGAGATCTGTAATTTGTTTGTTTTAATACCTTGTTTGATTGTCACGAAAAAAATGAAGAAAACTGTGATGTACATCTAGCTTAGATTGTGTGTGACTGTATAGTTTGACTGTGAGCGTCCATGTTAATGAACAAAACTTTAAAAGAAGGAAGATTGTAAAATACCAGTGCCTCAAGGATTTGTAAAAAAAACTGCTTTGATATAAATAACTTCTATCTCCTTACTGATTTCTTGGTGTTGTCCTTCCCAAACGTATAGTGGCAAATCATGGGCATTTTGGCAGAGATAATAGGTGTCTTTTATTTCTACATTGACTTCATTGTTAGTTGCAGTATCTTCCATGATTTTACCCATGTAGAGAGACTGACCTTTTCTGGGTCAGATACGTTAGATTGAATTCACTCTTCTCAGAATGCTCACTTGCAGGGGGGAAATTGAATGCCTAGTTTGGAAGTATTCTCATAGAATCAGGATCTTGAAGCCCATCCAGCAAGCACTGTCAAATAATCACAATCTTTTGAGTGTGGCAAATCCTGATACCCCTCCCAGCCCCCCCCAAAACAACAACAACAACAACAACAACCCAAAACAAACAACAAAACACAAGGGTTAGAGTTGAAATCAATGGATCCAAACACAGCCAAGGTTTTGCAGTCATGTTTCTTCAAAATACCCACTAATTGTGCCTCACTAATGGTCCCTTGTTTTGAAACTTGTCCCGTCACCCGTTGATGAACTTCCCAAGCTGCAGACGCTCACTTCTCCTCGGTTCTCTTTGAAAGTCTAAAAGTGCTTCATTCATAAGCCATTACAATAGTTCATTGTATGAAATAGGAAGTGATATACTTAAACTCTAACAGAAATCAGTTCTGCTTTTTGTATCATGTATGCTTTAATGAAAAAGAGGTTAGCATTTTGTAAGTTAAAAACATACATTAATAGCTTTTTTTGCTTCATTTTGTTTTTGTCTCAAGGAATTGTCCTGTAGCTTGGGTCTGATTGGTTTCCTTGCATTGTGTAACACATTTTGTGACCTTTGACCTTATAAAAATAATGCGAGGAATTGAGAAAAACAGTATTGTTATTTGTTCCCTTACGCTAGGAATGTAGCTTTCATATTTAACCTTAACAAATAACACCCTCCTGAAGTTGAATTTAGTTTTAAAATTGCGTATGATATACATATAGTTCTGCTTTGTTAGCTGGTTTGTTTTGGGGGGGTTTTCCTTTGTACCCAACAATGCCCTGGAGATTGTAATGTGGTATTGCACAAGTCAGGTGCCTCAGATGTTATTAGTTACTATGAATCTTGACAGTCATAGGGATCCTGCCAGGCCAAAGCATATTACTCGACAGAATCGTTTACGTAGCATGTGGGTGCTTAAGCATGTTGGCACAACTACTCCTTTGGAATTTGGCTGTGGCCATTTCTGAAAACCTAGCTTTGGTTCCAGTTGTAGTTTCAGGCTGAAGTAGTTGAAGCTAGAGATAAAAGCCGAGCTTTGAGAAAGGGCAGAGGAATTTCAGATGACTTGACAACATCATAATGTAAACAGTTTATGCTGGGTTGGTCACTAAAAGTGAAATCCAAAGCCTTTCCCAGTGGTAGAATTGGAATAAATACAAGACTATAAAAGTGAAATCCAAAGCCTTTCCCAGTGGTAGAATTGGAATAAATACAAGACTATAAAAGTGAAATCCAAAGCCTTTCCCAGTGGTAGAATTGGAATAAATACAAGACTATACAGCACTAACATTTCAAAATCATAACGTTTCTTTTTTTAAAACAATGATATACATGACCTTAATGTACATAGATTGCGAGCAGCATATTGGCTCTGTTATTTTAATCACACTACAAAATTTTGTTCCTTAATGTTTTGAGCAGATGTTTATTTTTGTGAATAAAGATCTGGGTTTTTTAGGGGGGTATTCTTGCATATCTGAATCTACAAATATTGGTCTCTGTGAATGGAGAAATGTTTACCTTGACAAGACTTTGAGAACTTGATTTTGTTGGGAAAAACAAATTGGATTGTTGATTAGCAAAGATTTGTTTTGATGTCTGGAAACTTGTTACAATATTGAATTTATAGGGGGCGTATTTGGTTGTTATTGAAAAATGGGCAAAATGAATAAAGTACATTTTGAAATAGAAACACAAACATTGAAAACAAACTGACAAGGTTCATTTTATGGTATCACCTATGGTATATGGTAGATTGGTTGATGCGTAGATCCAGGTAGGAAATTTTATTGAGTCTTATTGGTGGCTCTTGGTCAGTCTACAAAATACTGGCATGACTGATTAGCACAGACACTTGTATATTAGCAACACTTAACGGGCAGCTTGGTCTTTAAGAGGCACAAAACAGTTCTAGGACTGATTTCAACAGGTTGACCTGCTTATTAAAATAGTGATCAGGGTTGGTTGAAAGTTTAAATTACAATCTACGTGTATGTGACTCAGATTCTACCTGATAATTAATGACCTTTCACATGCCAAGCCCCAGCCTGTGTTGCAAACCGCATCACACCTTGCTGAATTGTCAAATTCGTAATACTGAAATGAACCCATTTTGAAAGTGATACAAGTACATGTACCTCAGTTGCTGCGTTAGATTGAGTTTAAAATACCATTCTTGTGTAAAAAAAAACAAAAACATATGTAGAATGGTAGATTTTTACTGTATATACATTGCTTAGTGTTGTTAAGAATAAGGGTTAATTAGTTCTTGACCATTTTTATAACAAAATTTTAAAAAAGCTTCTGTTTTCTTCATCACTGTAAAATGTATGAATACAACACAATGTGCGCTTGAATATAAACGTTGCCTCCATTATCCATGAAACAATAGTTTAATGGGTGCTCTGTTTCTTGTTTCATCTTGTCTGATTTTTAAGTCGTTTCTTATGAGACCCTTTCAAAAGAGAATTTTAAATTGTGGCCATATTTTGTAAAAGAAAAATGAACGTTGCCCCCTTGGAAATGTTTTGGAGCCAAACGATACGTACTTGTTTGAAGTTTTTGTTGTGCCAATAAAAAATACAAGACTAATCCCTTAGTTGTTTTTGAACAAAACTTTGAAATCCTTGGAGGTTTTCATAGTAAAATTATGAAAAAATGTGAGGTTAACTGCCTTTAAAGTTAGTTGGGCACAAATTATTGATAATGAGAGGCTAAATCCCTATTTTGTGGCAAAAGTATGAAAAAATGCAAGGTTAACCAACCCATTGAGTTATTTTTGAATAAAATATGAAAAAATGTGAGGCTTAGCCATTGGAAGGCATCTTTGGCCAATTCTGTGAAAAATACAAGGTAAACCCCTTGGATATTATTTGGCACCAACATGAAAAATGCAGGGTTAACCCTTCAGAAGGCATTCTTGGCCAAAAAATCTTTTAAAAATGCAAGGCGGCACCTTGGAATTATCTTTGAACAAAATTATTTTATAAAAGCAAGGTTAACCCTTTGTAAATTTTGGGCCAAAATTACTGAAATTGCAAGGTGGATACTACATATATTATGTGACCAAATTTATGAAAAATGCAAACCCCTTGGAAGTTATTTGGGAAATCATGAAAAATTGTTCTGAAAAATGTACAGTTATCCCTCTGAAGTTATTTGGGTCCAACACTGAAAACGTGGATTGCAAAGTTAACTTTTGGAAGTTATTTTGAGCTGGAATTATGTAGAAGTCAAGGTCAACACTTTGAAGTTATTTTTCGACACAAAAAAGCAGTCGATTCAACCCTTAGTTTATTGATATTGCTCTTCAGGTATGACAAGTGATCACTTAAAACACTAATGAGGAATTATCATCAAAGGAGCTTACAAACAAGAATGGGAGAGAGAAGGGAATGGCTGACATTTTAGAGTTGTTTCAACCACAGATGCTGTGAAATTTATAAAACAGGTATCAAGTTAATCAGTAAAATTAACGCCACTTGTGGCTACTTGCTTTTATTTTACAGATGGAGATTAAAGGCACAAACCATTCTCAATAATGAAAAAAAAATTAATTTTTGTCTCGTTCAATATGATTCTTTTTAACTCTCCCGGTTGAAAATGATTAAAATAAAATTATTATGCATGATAGTTTTGGATATTTTTAGGGGCTTTTGCAGATATGCTATGAATAATGTCATCACTTTTTAATTATTCACGGTTAACATTCATACATTGGGCAAATTTCAAGTGAGCAAATCAAATAATTATTCTCTTATACACAAAGAATATTTACACATTTACAAACAGGATAGAAATCAAAACCTACACACTCATAAAAGTATTCTTAAATTTCAGAACTATGTGAGTGACTAAACAAAAACACTGCTTTTCCAAACTAAAATCCGAAAAGAGACTACGAATGCTAGAACATACTCCAACCAACATGTGTCAGCAATCAAGAAGAATGTTAAATGTCCATACATTTCGTTAACACTCAGAGTATGTAGGTTAGGACAAATATTTGAGAAGTTGATTTGATTTGCACTTTAGGAGGTCGACGAGGTCCTACTCTAAGAAAAATATAAAGTAAATACACTTTCAAGGTAAGTGAACAAAAGCACCTGCGCAATCACTTTTATGGATGTAGAATTGCAAGCTCCGTCTTGCTGAAAGGCAATTAATTTTGAAGTCCCCTATGCTACTGCCATCAGAAAGAGCAGACAATATCTACACTCTCTAGACAAATATTCTTTGACGGACCATGGCTTAGTACTTTGCAAGGTCACATGAGAGCACTAAACCAGTTTTTAAAAATTATTTGTATGAAAAAATAGCCTTTGTGAAGAAGTATTTACAGTTTTGGTATTCACAGCCAGTTTCGACAGAATTTACAAGGGAAAAAAGCAGGACCCGTTCTAAAGTGATTTTTATAACTTTAAACAGAGATTTGTATGAGAGAGGACTCTTTCCTATTTTTAGCCCTAACTGGTGTTCACAAACATTCAGATTTTCTTACTTCCGAACAGAAAATAAATTAATCTTAAATTAAATACTTTAAAATGCAAATGGAAAATATCACTTTCATGGATTCTGCTTTTTTCCTTCTTTAAAAACACATAATAAAAGAGAAAATTTAAGTCACACTGTCACACACCATGCAATTACTCTAGTTTTAAATAAAAAAAAATAAACAGAGAGATCACAGTTCTGCAAATTGCAAATTACGATTTTTTTTGGCTGGTTCTAAATTTAATCCCATTCAGAGGTTGAGATTTCCAAAGATCAAAAGAAAATCCTACATTTCTATATACATATACTATCTTAGAATTGTACAAATATTTGGTTTGGGGGAAAATAAACATCTTAACCACTTCGCACCAGGGCATTTGTAAATGTTGAATCTGCTGGGCCAGAATATTTTTCTGTTTTCAAAATTCTTTAAAAAATCATACCTTCATTTACTGGACACTATTGATGCAGGAGTATTTCAGCCAGGCTTGCCGCCTTGTAAAAAGAGCCCAGATTGTACAGTGTTAGTTAATTTTCTTTTGTTCCCAAAACTGGTACAGTGCGCTGATTAGCGTGCAGCGGTGCTGTGTGACTCATCGCCGCGGTGGTGGAGTGCTTTTGCCCCCGGTGGTAATCCGCTCGCACTGAATGCCACAAACAGTGGTATACGGTTCCAAAACAATGCTGGATTATCTCCGCTATTGAGAGTGAAAAAATATTGGTAATTCCCAGCAGCCTGGTCTTTTGTTACGAGTACAGTCTTTTCTTACAAGACCCAGTTCCTTTGTCCGATTTCAAACACCCCGGCTGTGCATATAAAGAATATGTGCCCGAAACTGGGCTCCCTGGCAGCAAGTGGTTAACATCAATTCTGAAAATAAAAAATGTCAACAGTGGGTCATAAAGTAGATAACGCTGAGAAAAAAAAAATAGTGAACCAACCTAATCTGCCATTACACTCCAATTGAAAAGTCAAATTCAGGCACTAGTGGTTTTTTTTTTTTTTTTCAGAAACCTGGTCAATCACCAGTCAGGTCAAAGGTCAAATCACTAATGGAGTCATACATGTGTCCCAAAGCACCCCAGCACAAGTAGTGGCAAACGAATGCCTTAGTCAAGATTGGGATGGACAATTTGAGACCTGACACAGTGCATGAAACCCAGTGAAAAGTGTGTCCTTCACTTGGTCACACAGTACAAGGACGCCCTCTTTGGCTCATGCATGGAATCAATACCTTGTGGATTCAGTTTAGGGATCCTTGTTCAGCTTGATGGTTTGACGTCCTTGCTTTCTTACAAGCTTTTTTCCAAACACGATTGTTCAGCCCTAATGCAGAAGTTATGAGTCAATGAGCCGAGTCAAATGGGAGACTAAGCAGTTGTACCATTGTGATTAGGGTAAATATCATCATATGGTACCATATGGTTCCAAGGAAGGAACCTTGAAATAGACCATTGGAAACCTAGATCCCCCCATCAAAAAAGGCAGTTATCCTGACTTCAATTAATCAAGAAACAATCTTGCTTTTCAAGTTAAAAGCTCTGAACAACAAAAATCTATTGCAGTTAAACCTGTAATCTGATTCTTGTGAAACTTCTCAACCCTCAAATTCCCAAATAGATTTTTTTGTCAGTATTTTCTAAATAATTTTTTTTGATACTCAATATATTCTACAAGATGAAATTCTTTTTTTTTTCAAAAGTTTTGTTGACGTTTCCTTTTGACATCCATGGCCTCAATGATTGGTCTTCTCTTCTCCTGGTACCGTTTTCTGAGTTCTTCGATTTCTTGCTCCATTTGGGGATCTAGCGCTTGTAACCTGCTCTGGAGTTCATTGTAGCTAAGCTGTTTCAACTGCAACAGTGAAAGAATTCACCCATCACTTCAGAACACTATAACCTTTTCCATAAGAACAAAAAACTCTGATCTGATGCTAAAAATCCAGTGAACTGTCTAAGTTACTGGCAATCGAGGTAAAGTCGGGTTTTTTTTTACAGTGAAAAAGGTGAAGTTCAGCCTCAAGTGCCAGAAATGCCCAGTTGGAGATTAAATTTGTTGAAACGGGCATAAGTGTGTCTACAAATCTCTCTAATGTGGATAAGGACATCACATGAAAGGCATTTGTTCTTTAGACAGGGCAGGAAAACATTGGCAATCCAAACAAAATAGGAAATGAACGTCCGTGTACACATTTTAACTTTCAACAATATGGAAAATAACCAAGATTTATGGTTGCGTGAGGGTTCATGAATAGAACATGAGTACCAATCCTATGAGCACCTTCATAAAACGTTAAAAGCATGAACAATAGGAGGGTAATGGGAATGTCCAAGAATAAAGGCGTTTTGATACACAGCAGGTGTTTTTTTTGGGGGGGTGCATTTTACTTACAAACTCAAAGTCCATGTCACGGAAGGGCCTACTGGCTCCAGGCTTGGTGGGTGTGCTTTGTCTGGCCTGGGGTGGGGTGTGCTGTGCTTGCTGCTGCTGTTGCTGCTGTTGTTGCTGTTGTACTTGTTGCTGTTGGTTGAAGGGAGGTGCCGGTGGTAGCAACTGTGGTGTTATTAATGGCTGTTGTGCTTGCTGTGGTGCTGGTGGTGGCGGTTGCTGTTGTTGATCTGTTGTAGGAGTATTCCCTTGCTTCGCCTCAATTTGCCGGTCAAAGTGGTCCATGAACAGTGGTCTGTAGTTTTGATTTGCCGAGTCTGTGTCTATTCCTGTAAGATAGGAAGCAATTAATGCTAAGCATACAACTTTTTGGATGCATTTTCAAACATACAGCTTTAACTGAGTTTTGGGAGGGAAAAGGTGATGTATTTGTCTAATGTGTACCACTGGATCTTAAAATGAGTGGTACAACCTGGGATATCCTGGGGGCAAGATCTAAAGGTGTATGACCTAACCTGGGATATCCTGGGTGCAAGATCTAAAGGTGTATGACCTTACCTAGGATATCCTGGGTGCAGGATCAGAAGGTGTGAGGCAAAACCTAGAATATCTCGGGTGCAGGATCCGAAGGTGTATAACCTTACCTGGGATATCCTGGGCGCAGGATCAGACGGTGTATGACCTAACCTGGGATATCCTAGGTGCAAGATCTAAAGGTGTATGACCTAACCTGGGATATCCTGGGTGCAAGATCTGAATGTGTATGACCTTACCTGGGATATCCCGGGTGCAGGATCCAAAGGTGTATGACCTAACCTGGGATATCCTAGGTGCAAGATCTAAAGGTGTATGACCTAACCTGGGATATCCTGGGTGCAAGATCTGAATGTGTATGACCTTACCTGGGATATCCTGGGTGCAGGATCAGAAGGTGTGTGACACAACTTGGGATATCCTGGGTGCAAGATCTAAAGGTGTGAGGCAAAACCTAGAATATCTCGGGTGCAGGATCCTAAGGTGTATAACCTTACCTGGGATATCCTGGGTGCAAGATCTAAAGGTGTGAGGCAAAACCTAGAATATCTTGGGTGCAGGATCTGAAGGTGTATAACCTTACCTGGGATATCCTGGGTGCAGGATCTGAAGGTGTATAACCTTACCTGGGATATCCTGGGTGCAGGATCTGAAGGTGTATAACCTAACCTGGGATATCCCTGGTGCAGGATCTGAAGGTGTATGACCTAACCTGGGATATCCCTGGTGCAGGATCTGAAGGTGTATAACCTAACCTGGGATATCCCTGGTGCAGGATCTGAAGGTGTATGACCAACCTGGGATATCCCTGGTGCAGGATCTGAAGGTGTATGACCTAACCTGGGATATCCCTGGTGCAGGATCTGAAGGTGCAAGACATTTTCTGTCAGACTTACTCTTCATAGTCGAGTCGCCATTGAGGTCCTTGTCTTCATTGATCACCATGGTGCCCATGTCGTTCTCGATCATTGTACCCGTATCATGTGTTACCAGCGTCCCCGTGTCCCCATGCTCAATCATGGTGCCCGAGTCCTCGTGCATGATCATCGTCCCACTGTCATGCTCAATCATGGTGCCCGTGTCATGCTCAATCATGGTGCCCGTGTCGTGCTCGATCATAGTCCCGCTATCATGCATGATCATGGTATCTGAGTCTGTTTGTGAGGTATCTGTTGCCGTGGAGGCCGATGCAGCCCCCGACGATTTCCCTCTTGCTACCATGGTGCCACTGTCGATGACATCATCATCATCCTTGGAGAGAGAAACAGGGTAAGCTTGTAAGACTCTCACGTTGGTACGAAAACATCTTAAGGCTGGGACTGAGAGCACAAAATACGAAGGATGCAATATCGAGCAATGGGTAACTCAAAGTTTAACATTCGTGAACCCACAAAACAGTGTTGAACTCCCTCAAACCTGGAGGTAAAATTTGATTTCCTGCCTGTTAAATTGTGTAATCTTGTCTAAAGAATTCAACACAGGCAAACTCCAACTACTTCTGCAATTTTTGCCAGGAACTTTTCTAGCCCCTCCAAAATGTTCCACTTGGCAAAAGAACCCAATGGATCATTCTTGACATTTCAAGGATCATCGAGCCCCACATTAAGTGACAGTGACTGGCCTCTGTCTGCCTCCATCCTTCAAAATCCTTCAAACATCTGGGCAAATGTTGGAGAAAACGGGAGTATGTGGGCTTAGAGAGCTTATCATAATTCTGAAGTGACTTTCAAAATGCAGCTTTGAGGGAAGTTTGGAGCCTGAGAAGAAGGGAAATATGGCAGGAAGGGATAGCACAACTGAAGTGGGGTGCAAGGCTGTGAGTCATACCCATGGCCAGAGTCAAAATTCATGTTTTCTTCTCAAGTTGAGATAGCTGATCTCAGATTCTTTTTAACAGTCTCAGTCGAACTCCCTGATTATATATATTGAAATGTGAATCTCTTTTTTTTCCCAACAGAGCTGATCACCTGTCAAGTTTTTGAACTAATTTTGGTGAAAGTATTTTGAACTTCAGGAGGTTCAGGAGGAGATGATTGATTTTTTTTTCCTGAAAATGTGGATGGCTATTAAACGTTAACATCTAAACTACTTCAATGCTTAGGGGCTAAAAGCGTGAATGGTGTGCATGATAAATCATATTCAAGATTCAAGTCACAGAAATCAAATGCTGACAATGTGGAAGCAACAAATGAAAAACGCAGTTTTTGTGAGGTGGAAAAAGAGCAGCAGGCTCAGAGACATGTTTTTCAAGGCCTTATAATGCTCAAATGTAATACTGTTTTAACGTCCAATGAATTCTGACTAACTCTTACAGCTGATTCTCTTTTTGACCTGAACTCTTCTTTGCCTGAGAAGTGCTCACTGAGCACAGGTACAGGTACATATGGGAAGAGATAGATATACAGGATCTTTGGAAGGTTTTTTTTTGAGGGGCAGGGCTTTTTGTTTTGATAAAGACAAGGGGCAAAATTTTAAGACACAAATGCTGCAACTTAATAGCTTTAAAGAACAAAATAATAACTAAAATAAGACAGGGAAACCAACACTAAAAGAAAGCATGCTATAAATGCACCTGAGGGTTCCAAAATAAAACAAATTATACAAACATTTGTATTAAACCTACATGAAAATGAGAAAAAAAATCAAAGATTGCTGGATTGCTGCAAGCTAAAACTGTTTAAAATGCGGGCTGCTTTCTTTAAAATTTTGTGATCATGCAGTGAATGGCATGCAGTGGCATCCAGGTTGCTTACCACACCACCATCAGCCTCATCTTCTTCCTGTTGGCAACAGGGTCAAGGGTCAAAAAGCAAACAACCAATGAGAAATCAAGTCATGTGGCTTTCCCAAACAAAAACAAATCATACTGGGTGTGAAGGCCAGTGTTGTAACAGAGAAAAAGAACAGTTTGACAGTCTGGGCTAGGTTCTGAGTTCAAGGTTTTAATTTAGACTTAACATGTCACTCACCCAAACAGAAAAATGAATGGATAATTTCTGGCTTCAAACATAAAATGAAACGGTGAAAAGGCATGTGCTTTTTTTCCTCTCCAAACTAACAAGGCTCCATAAAGTAAGGGTCACTGTACAAATCGCCAATGATGCAGTGAAGCCTATCACAAACTACCCAGTCTTCAGCCAAGTCACAAGCTATTTGAATGAAGCCTGAAACAAGTATTCCTTTGGCGTTCATTTTATTATATGTGACTGGACTTGAGAACGAACTTGTGAAATGACCTCAATGCGACACTGGCATATGTGTATGTCCATCGGTTTAGTATCTTGCCTGACAAATCAAGTAGATAAACTACTGCAGTAACATACAAGCAGTAGTGTGCTTAAGTTCCATATTTACAAGTCTGACTAATTTTCTTTGTGTTAAATGAATGTGTATGTATAACCACATATTAATGGTAACTGCAGTTTTCACTATTGACTTGAAACACAAACATGCAGAGAACAAACCACATACATGTATCGATGACAAAACAAAGTTCATTGTGAAAGAAAAACTTCATCCTCTGTTCATTTTGACAGGGCATGTTTTCATAGCCATGACAGACAAGATAAATAGAATAAAGGACCACATACATGTACGTGTACTTATTTGAATATTCATGAGCATGCATTTCAGGTTGTTAAATAATTTATACCCAGGCTTCCGTCATGCATTTCTGTCCCTGAAGTTGGGATTTCATTTCATGCCAAATGTACTTCAAAAATAATTAATTGATCACATGGTGCTTCACATATAACTTCATAAATAATTCAGCACTGATGGCTCATAAATAATTCACCAGTCACATGGTGCAAGAATACATACATCTGCTTCATGAATTATTCAGAAACTGCACAGTGCACAAACACTCAGGACATAATATTATTCAGCAGTCACATGGTACACCAATATGCAAATGCCATGCTGCTAAACACCTTACCACTATTGTGTACATATCATGACTGTCACCTTTCACACAAGCCTTACCACCAGACCAGGACAAAAAAGACAATGAAAAGACACAGATTGTCATTATTTGGGGGGAAAAATCTACCAACAAGAAATCTCTGACATCCAACATACAAATGTTAGAAGAATGACAAATGGAAGTGAGTTAATATGAAGGAACATTTCCAGTAATCAAATGCAAGAAAGATGCAAGAGGTATTTTGTACTACTAAATGAAAAAGAAAGTGTAGCAAACAACTTTAACCATAGTCTCTCACTACTGCATCAGAGAACTCTCTTGTCGTTTTGAGCAAAGCCCGCTAAGCAAAGTACACCCAGATCATGAAAGTGTCCCAATCAACTGAGCATGCTGGGTTGGTGCCAAAATATTATCCCAAAAACTTCAAAGACCTTCCCTCGACTGCCACCAGAAATAAGGGAAAAAATAAACAACTTGAAAAGTATCCAATTTTTGAGACTGATTAATCTCACCGATCCAGCCTCGTCTTCATCCTCGTCATCCTGTGCCTGTAACCTCAGCTTCTCCTTCTCCCGATTCTCGTTGGCCTCATTAATCATCTCACGGAGAATGCTGACTGGCTTGGCTTTCTTGATAAAAGGATGCTTTGGAAAGAGAACAACTTTAGAAGTAACGAGCAGGGCCACAGCAAAGAGATAAACAAAGTGTAATCAACATCATATCCCAACTCCCTCATCAATCCCATTTGTGGACCAGTTTTGGTGAGCTGAATGCTTTCAGCATCTTGGAATCTAGAAATCTCAGCATAGATTCATTTCAAAATTCTGGACAAGGTAATGTGTGCAGATGATCCATGGCTATGGTGCATTCATCATGGTTGTTCAAATCTCTTCCCTTCTTTAACCTTTCTCCTAGTGATCCTCTGTCCTTTTGGGGGGGGGTTGGAGCCCCAATTTCCTACCTGTAGAAGGTCTGTGGCTGTGGCACGTTCCTCTGGGTTCTTGACCAGACACTTGGAGGTGAAGTCGATCAGCTCAGGCGACCAGCCCTCTGGGTTGCGGAATGTGGGTGGTGGCTTCGTGGGTATCATGAATATGGCCTACCAAAAACAAACAGCACGTTGAGGCATTCTTACTGAATGACATACCTGTAGAGTGCACACGACCAATTTTCCATGGAATGTGCATGAAAAAACTGAAGTGAGAAGCTTTAATCCACTAGATGACCCATACATGTATATTTGGTCATGTGATTGCCAGCCTTACCCTCATTGGGTGGATGTCAGCATATGGCGGCTTCCCTTCACACATCTCCAACGCTGTGATGCCCAGCGACCAGATGTCTGCCTTGCAGTCATACCCAATCTCTTGGATGACCTCGGGTGCCATCCAAAATGGGGTACCGATGACTGTATTCCGCTTGGCCATTGTGTCCTACAGAAAGAGAAGTGAACAAATATTTTAGAGGAATTTACGTCAGTATACTGCACTTTAAACACCTTATACCCCAGTTACAAAACTAACCAGATAGCTTTTATTAGTGAGGAACTTCACTCATTTTCATTTGCAACCAATATCCCGATCCATTCCTGGAAAGGGGGTTCCCATGCCAAGTTTTAACACCAACAACATCGACAAATGACAAAATATCCCCTCAGAAAGCACTAAGCAAACAGTGCTTTAAAAATCCAACACATACATGTACTTGTCTACATACTTGTGAATGCAGGTCACTATACCAAACCTGATTAAGTCCAACACAATGAGCCCATTGGAGTTTGAGTGATATGGTATGGATGGGTCTATGCAGTATAGGATGACTTGCACTGAACAGTACCAAACCTGACAAAATCAAGCATAGTCCAGCACTTCGTACAGGAAGCCAGACCCTGCACACAATGGCCCCTGTGTGTTCCAACTCACACAAAGTCCAACACCATCACCCTGGACCTTTGATACCAAGTCCAACAAAATTCAACGAGTTCATCAGGTATGGTACCAAACCTGCCAAAACATCACCAAACCTGATGTTGGAGAATGGCAGGTTTGGGGTAGTTAGGATTAAAGGTACATCAGTGAAGGACATACAACAAGCATTTACACTACCCTGATATCAATCAATTTACTCAGGGAAAATGTCAGTTTCTTACAGTTAATTGACCAGCAACACCAAAGTCTGCCAGCTTGGCAAAGCCCTCGTTGTTGAGAAGTATGTTGCCAGCTTTGATGTCTCTGTGGATCTTCCGCATGAAGTGAAGATACTCAAGACCCTTAAGAGTTGATTGGAGGATTGTAGCTACCTCATCTTCTGTCAGCTGATGGAAAGAGGCAAATATTGTCTCTTAGGGTCTGTTTGTGTCACATGGACCTGGATTTCAATGTGTTTGCTCTGCCCATTAGGCAGGTCCTGGTGTTAGTGAACGAACGACAGATGACTGATCACGATTCGGATCCGTGTGAAACAAACAGGCCCAAAGTGTCAGGAGAAGAGAGAGGTTTCACTAGGCATGGTTGGATGAGGGCTGGTCTAGCTAAAACCTGTCCTATGAGGACTGTTTGGTGGGGGTTGGTTGATTGTCAGCAACATTTCTTTTCTGCATGCCGACTCCAAAATCACCCCGTAAGATTTCTTAAGGTTGGCCAAAAAATCTCAGCTAAATTCCTGAATTCACGCTCAATTTTTTTTCCAGCACAGCTGACACGATGTAAAGATGCATCTGGATTTTGTTAGCCTGTCTTCCACTGGTAATATGCAACTGCTGTGGAGTTTATGAAAGCAGCCATCAGGAGGGTGATTCTCTTACCGTTTTACTTCTCCTCCGCATGATGTCTGATACTGAGCCAGCTCCACAATACTCCATTACAATCTGAAGTAAAGCAATGAAATAAAATGTACTGATGCACAGTAAGGACAGAAACTGACGAAAAACATGACAGAAGCTGATGGACAAGTTACTTTTATACTCATACAAAATAATGACACTTACATGTACATGTAAATTCTCAACCTTAAATTCCAAATGTTGAGTTTTCAAAAGTCAGGAATACATGTACGTGTATTTGACAAAAGAACCTCCATAAAAGAATCTCCCAAAACACAGATCCTAAAGCATTGTCTGGATTTTGAAAACACTTGTTCAACTCCAACATTTCATTTTGAAGCCTGTACAGCAACAGATGAAGATGACACAGATTCAGTTCTACTATTCAAATAGATAGATTCAAAAATTCTGTCCCAAAACAAGAAAGTGTCCAAAGGGTTTTTGCATTATTTGGGGGTACATTTTGGCAGATAAAACCAGTAACTATTTTGGAGTTTCACCACTGGTAAACATTACTGGCAAATAGTACTTTCACAGAGCAGCTGTGGCCTTTAGTTCTCAACCCTTACCCACAGGTCTGTGTTCTTGAAGTAGCTTCCGTAGTACTTGACTACGTAGGGGCTGTCACACTGCTGCATGATAGAGATCTCCTTGATGATCTCCTGCAGGTCCGTGTCTACAGGCACCTGCTTGATGGCAAGCACCTGACCGGACTCCTTGTGCATGGCCTTGAAGACGCTGCCATAGGACCTGGCCAAAGGTGACGGTATACCATACCAACAACATCAGACTTTTCTTTTGAAAACAAAACACTGTGTTCAATACAAAACACTGACTGCCATTTTGTACAGGTGGCCAAAGCTTGTAGAAATTTCTCCCTTGGTTAGCAACAACTTGTTACATCAAAGTGCACCAAATTTTTTCATTGATGTAAAATGGCAGGTATTTTCATCAGTACTCAGTAGAATTATTAAGTATTTTATTCTTTGCGTGAGACTTTTTAACACTTGTGGATTATTCCTTTGGTTTTGTAGTCATGGCCAGAAACTGCATCTGTAACGTAGCAAAAGGAAGGTCTTTCCGTTCTGAGCAGAAGCACTCCCTCATCAGTCGCAAAGAGCCATGTTGGTCAGGAGTGTTCATTTTGTTGGTGGCAATGTGACTGCAACATTTTCATCTCACAGTCATTTGTGAACCAGCGATGCGTAGTTACTACCAAATGAGCCTCTGTTGCTAGGAAAATTGCACCCTCTCTTGGTCCAGGTCAGGGTCCATATGAACACCGTCTTTTTTGTTTTCTGAGTAAATGATAAACTATTGGCATAATGAGCCAAGGGTATGAAGTACATGTACATGTAGGCACTTCAAGTTCAAGTCAAGCAACTGACCTCAATATACAAATACTGAATGTTCCTAAGCAATGTTGCAGTTGAGCTCACCACAAGTCCTCTCACAAGTTCATTTCACAAGACTATTTCACAAAATAACAGGGTGAACATGGCATAGGGTTGCTTTGGTCACAGTTCACTTGAACAGTGTGTGGCTTGGCTTAAGACTGGATTGACTTGTGATGGACTTGCTGCATTTGCTGAGATGACATAAGGAAGTACACCTGCAGCCATTGTGAGGGGAGCCTGGTACGGATGCAAGAATAAACTTACCCTTCTCCCAGCTTCTCCAAAATGTCAAAGACCTCCTCGGGCTGCCTGGTCAGGCTTTCCTCACTCAACCTCTTCAACTGACTGTGATTACAAAAAAAAAACAAAAACAAGAGAACGTTAAAGCCCGTACATGTAGTTGATTTCTCTCAGTGCATAGAGCACGTGTACCGGTACATGTATGTGCCTGTACATGGTTACAGGTACCATGGTACAGTACCGTACATGAAAAGTTGCATGAACGATTTTATGAGGACAGAAATAATTGTAAGTCCCCAAAACGTATCAACAAAATAAGTCACACTGTCTATTTTCATACAATTCATCATTAAATTTGGTTCCCACATCTGAGTTCCAAGTTACCAAAGCTCATCTACTTCAATATTGCAAGCTTCAAACAAATCTTGCACATTGAAATTGGACAGAAAGTGCCAACTACCACTTCCGTTTGTCTGATGTGCACGTATTTGTACACACTTTAAAATGAAGCGCTTCGAGTGTTCCTTGAACAAAATGTACATTGTACGTGAAAAAAATAATGAAAAAACAAAGGAAGGGTACTCAAGACTCATTTTGTGGGATCAACATCAAGTCAGCTAAGTTGAATTTACATCACCAGCTCATATCCACACATCCACCCACTGAGTGATTGTGCATGGTTTAATGTCACACTGTTAGACTTAAGGCACCAATCATCTTTCCACAGGAACCTGATCAATGGACGGGTTGATGCAGCAAATCATCCCCACGATCTCCCTCTACCCCATGTGGCAAACATTACAGCAACACCAAAAGCTCATCAACACACCATCCCATCGACCTCGGCTGCCACCACAGCAAAGATCCCAACCTCAGCCAGAGGTCATGTACTTAGAAAAAAAAAACACTTCACAATTTCTATTTTCAGTTTCGAGACTTGGAAGGCTGTTTTCGTTTCAACATACACCTGTAGAGTACATGTATACATGTACTACTATCTGCCTTGTTTTTCATTTTATGGTTTCACTGTGCAGTGATGGCCAAGCCCTGTGAAGCCAATTCTTACACTGCAGTTTCCGATGACCATTTCTTAAAGTGCATTACAAGTGACAGTTGATACAAGTAAGAATCCTTTTCATACATGTAATGTACATGTAGCTTGCAAAAGGCCCAAATTTACAAAGCTTGCACATGTACATTTGTTTGTTACATTTGTTTTACAGCCCTGTATGTAAAACAAAACATGTATTGTAAATTAGCCACGTTAATCTACATACAGCTTATGAATGAAGACTTGGATATTGATGCATGCACAATTCCATCTGGCTTGGTGAGAAATTATTTTGGAACTGGTTAGGCATGTTAGGGTGTACTGAATGCCACGGCTAGTTGGAATTCCTCTGTAAATCCAAATTAGTATCCCAGTCCTGCCCCTCCGTGAATGAAGCAAACCCCAGCCTGTATGGAATAGCCCAAATTTTCCTCCCAAAATATGATCGATGAGACAGTTGATGTGACCCTGAACTCAAAGGCACATGACAATTACAGCCTGCCAAGAAAAACTCCCCAAAGTGACACAATTCAATGATTTCCATGTGATATTTAAGACAAAATTGAATTTGGAATGGACTTTTCCACTCTGCAAGAGAATTAAGCTGTTAAAGGAATTCTCTAACCCTCACCGCCTACTAGTACTAGCCTCTTTTGGCTAAGATACATGTACATGTACATGTACGGTAGACTTTCAATCCTTCCAAAATCCTCCAAATGTCCCATGGAAAAATTTTGATACAGCCTCAATCTCCCCAAATCCTCTGATATTTCTTGAATATGTTCCATGGAAAGGGTGACCACAGCTTGATCCTTCAAACTCCTCAAATAATTGCTCTCATTATGTTGAAGCAGTGTGAATGGTATCCTGGAGCAGAAAGGGTGATTTCAAGTATAATCTAGGCATGAATTTATGCATGGCAGAACATCAAAAAAATACAAGGTCTAACTCAAGACCTTGAGAAAATGCATCCCCTTCAGCAATGTAATTTTGCCATACAGGCCTCAATTCACCAAAATCCTTTAAACAGCCGGAGGATTTTGGGGATGGAGGGAGGGTTAGGGTTTACATTAAATTTAACCAATTCTCCAGACAAAATGAGAATTGTGAGTAGTATATGTATCTCTTGAAATTTTATATTTAGTCTCCAAATTTTTCACGACAAATAAGTTTGCTCATGTGTCTGTTGACATGTGCATGTACAATATGCCATGCATGATACATGTAAGTATGGCTAAAGAGAAAATACATTTTGTTAGCTTCTTACACAAACCGCTTTTTGTTTTCTTGGAAGTGGAAGATATTTTGATACTCAAACAGAGTCCTTTCTGATATTTATATGTACAGTAAAAGAATAATCACGTATTCAATACAATGATTGGTCAATAATTAAATGATTTTGTCTGTACTTTCAGGTCTGTGTATGTATACGTCCAACATATACATGTACATGTATGGTACATTAAGGCATTCAACTCATAACACAACAGTGCTGGTTTGAATTTGGGAGCCGTTACAGTTTCTGTTCCTACATATATATGTACCCAAAAAACCCACAATATTATCCTTACGTCCTTTTAAAAATTGAATCCTACAATACATTGCAAGGTACATGTATGTCATTTTCTTTTCTTGATTCGTGGCTCTGCAGAGTTTGAAGGTAAATCAAGTATGACATTGCATCAGGTCTGAAAAATATCTCTTGATGTGAATTCACAATGACAATGTACATGTACCGGTGAGTGTTGAACCAGATGAAGAGTTTTTGTAGGTAAAAATGTAAGTCAGCCAAACACAAACTGTACCATTTCAACTGCCATGCTACTACAGATACAAAACAACTTATGGACAGAGTCCTATCATGCCTACAAGTACATGTACAACTGTATATTGGTGTTCCTTACCTTAAGCACCCTGTTCCTATTATAAAGAGGCACAGTCTAATTTTACCAAACAAGTCACCTAGATAAGTTGGTAGTGATATCCTATTTTTTTAATATCAGAAAGATTGTGTTGGTGAGAAAAGGGCAGGGCTTTGATATTTGAGGGAAGTTGTGGGATAAAACAGCAAAGTGTGTGACACGGCGACACGTGTGAGCAAAGACAAATTGGCGAATGTAATCTGGTTCTTTAACTTAGATTTGTGACGAATCTTGATGAATCCTAGTATATTCACAATGGCCGGGTCTGGTAACCAGACTAGTGGTGAAGCACCTCCATCATCAGCTAATTTGAAACAAAATGGCGTGACCCGACTGAGCGGTTGTTTTTCACCAAAAGCGAGTAAGGAAATTGTGATTTTTTTCACTTAAATATTGTCAAAATCTACCTAAACTAGAGCTGTTAGGGAAAGAATTCCATTCATGGGCCCCATTTCTTTTCCGTGCAAATACCTTTTAGCCATCTGAAAGCAATAACATGACCTAAAAAGTCAAATTTAGCAGGGAAAATATTGACTTATTCATGTAGAAAACCTAAGAATAATTAACCCTAACCACCAAGCATATTGTTTGGCTTACAGTACCCAACACTACAAAATACTAAGTATTAGCCTGAGCCTGAAGGACCTAGCGCTACAAATTACTACTTCTGGCTAGGTTACTTCCATTGTTACTCGTACAGAAAACAATAAAGCCATGCATTCATAGTGCCACAGCACTGTATGGTACATGTACATTGTCTTATCTATTGTATTTAATGGCTTCAGAAAACAATAAGGTCATGTCCTCTTACAAGCGACAGCGCTGATTACTACATTTTACTACAACTAGTAATTTGTAGTATTATGTAGGGTTAGGGATAAGACTAGTGTCATACGGTTTGTGCACAGGGTGTCAACCGGCGTCTGCATATAAAAATCTTTCTGCTGTGTTAGGATTTAGAAGCAAATGCTCAAGGTCAAAATGTCAGTTATTTGTTAAAAGTCATGAAAGTGGACTTTAGTAGGCCTCGGCCTATGTGTTTATTTGACAACACCTGTACAGATTACAAATGACCATACACAAACAACTAATTTAACTCAAATAAAATAAAAAGAATAAATCAAGGGCATTGTCGAGGATAGTACAAAAAAGCTAGAAATAGCTTATTTCCATTGAAGTCCTAGGAACACGGTACTAAAGCAAGGAACCCCCCATAGCCACCTGTCATCCTGCCACACGATATCCACCAAGTGCACTTCTTAACTTCTATTTCTGTGTAACAGGTGTTAATATAAGTCAAGTGCAATCATCTAGATGAAAATTACGGTGTTTATGCCTTTTTACCAACGTGGTTGACATGGTTAAAAGCAGTGACAAACACTGTATACATGTACATATGTACATGATGTAGGCTAGGCGTACGCAGAGCTTGTCTGAGACTGAGTGAGAGTTTGTGAAAAAAAATCACAAGCTTACTCACAAGCTAAAATGCAAATGCATGACAACTGCTTGGCCTTGGCAAATGTTATCTTCAACTTTAAACACATTCAAACTTTGTCTTTGAGTCTTTGTTCTAAAATCACGATATTTCTTGATTCCTCGTGTAAACATCACAAAAATGTCATTGGTTTGGCTATGGCTTTTTGTAGGCACTAGGTGATTTTGAACAATACATATAAAGCACCGAGGGAAAAGAAAGCCCTTCGACCTTTTGATTGTGCAAAATCACCCATGCGATAGTTTAACGCTACGGCCACAAACATCACTATTACACTAAACATGACAAAACCATTCATAATTTAACTGCTGCTGAACTTAATCAGGTTATTTGAACGTCATGCGCCAGATGACCAGAAATCTTACCTTGTGGACGTCATTTCAACAAAACAGAAAATCTAATGAGTCACATCAAGTCAAACCATGGTAGATGGAGGTGTACTGAGCAAGTTTACCGGCCAATTAATCGGTCCGTAAAAGCGGAAATCACTGGTTTAATTTCTCAGTCTCATATTGTTCCACGGAGTGTGAGTTGGAACTTCACAGCGGTCTTGATGACATCATATGCGAGGATCGGGTCAAAGTTTATTGAAACCCGCCCTCAATCGTAAAGCCGCTGCGCTTGTGAGTTACTTGGCTACAGCTACAAATTACACATTCACTAATGGAGCCACCGGTTTGCGGCTTCTCCTTTTTTTTCCTTAGACGTACGTGTACATGTTACTGCTGGCCTTGCCTTGGCCAATATACTCAACATAATGGCTTATGCTATAGTCTTTGCTCCGTCGATTAAAGGTTCAACCTTTTTTACAGTTAGATGCGCAAAATCCATATGCACATTCTATAAATAAGTCGGACGAGTTAACATTTAATCCGCAAAGTGATCTGTTGAGTATACATGTACGTTATCTAACATATGATTATTTTGTACTTTATAAAACAGATTAGATTTTTTTTAGTGGACTATGTACTGATGAAACATTGACTTATCTTATACAAATTTACAAGCCAATCTTGTTAGACTCAGAACAAGCTCCTTAGGTAGGTCTCATTATACCATAGAGCAAGTCCCTAGGTTTTAGACATATTTGAATTACAGGAGGATCGTGAAAACTGCATTTTATAATTTAACTCAGATTTTGGGCAACCGAAAAATAAATGTACAAAATAACAGTACAAACTGATGAAATGCGGAACGGCTAGAAAAAGGCTACTGTTATCAGATCAAATGCACAGCCGAGTCTAGCCATTAAGCTAGGTGGAGCGTACATCGTACATGTACAGTATATGTACGTCAGCGAGGGTACGCTCACGTACGTACGTGTACACAGCTACAGCACAGTCAGCAACTCGCTGTTTTGAAGTTCTTTCAGAACTTTTCGAAGTACGTCTTTCAGGATGGCAAGTGGCGTACAGGCTAACATTCTTCGTCTCTTGCAGGATGTTGGGAAAGCTGCGTAAGTTTGCATTTCGAGAAATTCAGCTTAAAATCAACTTTCGCATTGTAACTTTAAGCACGACACTTCTCTCTTCTTACCGTGTTTCCCTAGGCCCCTACTTCGAGAACTCGAAGTCACCAACTCTGTGCTACTCCGTGCACCCGGAGTATCACGGAATTAGTGATTTCGAGTTCTGGAAGTAATACTTGTGGGCTACCCTGAACATTCGCTTTTGGAATGGTAGGCCTGTCTAGGCCAAAGGTCAAGGCCTTAACCAAAACTGTGGGGTTCGAAGTCCTTCGCCGTCAAACCCAGTCAGCGCGCAGCAACCGTAAAAGCTGCTCCTTTCATTTGCTACGTACGTATGCACGGCTGTCTGAATCTTGCATATGTAATGAGCTATGTAGTGGACTTTTCAAAATTGTATACCACCTTGTGTTACATTTAAGAATGGAATGTCTTAACATAAATGAGCAGTTAAGATATCAGTCTCATGTCCTTTGTAAACAATACAAATATTCGCAGTCTCTTTTGGAGGATATTAGCCGTAAAACGTAGGCTTTCTCGTTTTTTCTTGTGAACTCCCATTAACGGAGGGGCTGCGCACTGACTGAACCCCACAGTTCTGGGGTATCTAGGCCTATTACTAGTATTACCTCACATTAAAGAGCACCTCTAAGGAAAACTTGTTTTCTCTGATTTTAGCTGTTCAAACTGGGCAAGGGTGCCCCTTCTCTGTTTTCTCAGAGTGACACAATCTACACTCAGAATTCGCATCTTGGCATGAACAGAAAAAAAGCCCTTTTAAGATTGGTAGGGCCTGTAGTTGAGCTCTGAGGACAAATGACACTGCATTCAATTTGGAAGCTTCCATATTTATTTGAACAGTTAAAATCAGAGAAAACGTGTTTTCCTCAGAGTCAGAGGTGCTGTTTAAACATGGGGCCTCCACTTGACAAGCAATTGTGCTGGGGGGGCTCTATCCACCAACGGTTCTGTCTGCATGCCGTGCATGCTAACAAGTGGCAAAAATGGATATGTTTAGCTGACTTACCTCTCTTAATTTTACATACAATCTTGTTTCAGAAATCAGAAGTTCGTAAATGTAGTGTGGGCTGAATAGGCCAAATTTCTTTTCAACTTTCAAAGCTGTTCTTTCATGTCCAGCATAAAATAGTAGAAATGGTTCTAGTTCAGGCCTACCCCTGAACTGTAGGGTTCCTTGTCTGATGAAGAACCCCACGTACTGTACCATTACCAGTAATCTGCCCTGAGCTCAAGTGCAACCCCAATGGGCGAAAGAAAGACAGGTGGTTACAAGTGGGTTCTTGCACGTGTTTTGCGTATATGCTAAGACCATACATTTTGGAATAAATTCATTGCGCGTACTCATCGTGCTCCGTGTCAAACATACTTGCATGTCTATGTGGTGAATTGGTGCCAAAAGGACAGTCAATTTCATTGACAAACACGCCCTCTTTTGCCCCCTCGAGTACTTGGAGTGGATACCATTTACGATCATCCTTATCAGTCTCATCGCATTGTCATCCTCAATATTCATATTGTGTGCTGATTGAGACCAAACCTTCCATGTTGGCAATCTCATTTCCAGTATCAGACCACATCCTCAAACTAACCATGAATTAGCCATGACTGAAAGAGACTAGCCTCCCACCACAGGTGCCGTTGCCCTGCCCACTCTCAAGCCTTCCGTTTGAACCAACCTACCACACCCAAGCATGTGTGCTCCTCCACTGAGGCAGCTACCCAGCCAGAATATGCCTTCGAGGTAAAGCAGTACCTCAAGCTGTATTGTGAGGATTTCTCTTTGGGAAGGAGAGCAGGCTGAAGTTTAACTTGTTAGAACAAAGTTAAAGGATCCAAACAAATTACTTTGTCATTACCGAGACTTTGCTTTAAAAGAAGAGGAAAAACAAAGACAACATAATAATTTCACAAATTTGGATTCTTGGAATTTGCGCTTTAAAACAGTATTTTATTATAATAATGTTCTTTATAACAATATCAGGCTTTATTATTCACGTCACGGTCCACCTGATTTTCACACTGATAAGTGCATTTTTTTTCTTCCAAAACCATGTAGGGTCTGATCTTTTGACATCCCAGTCGAGTTTTTCCCACAAGTGGTCGCTAAAACTATGGTTGGCTGGTGGAACAAAAGTGAAAGAATAATTCACAGAGTGTAAAAACATCCCACGCAGATATCAGAACACCAGCTAATACACATACTACGAAATATAGCTCTGTTTAAAATGAATGGGTCAAATGTCCCATTGAATGAATTTAAGGTCAATTCGAAAAACTTGGCCACCAATACAAGTTGTAAGTAAAATGAGAATGGTCTATTCTCACCAAGTTAACAAGCACAATTGCGTCAACTTCACACAAACAGCAAAATGACTTAAGTGAAAAGGTTTGTGCAAATCGTAGAGTGAGCTGGGCCACTGCTGTGTTATTCATGCCCGTAAGGCACTATAGACCTTTTTCCAATGATGTCACGATTGTGCTCGACCTATCATGTGTTGTGATGGTAATGAGTGCATAGTGTTGTGATGGTAATCTACCTATTCAAGATAAACTAGTCAAGCATCAGCATTCGCACATGCGCTTGAAGCTACCCGTAGGAACACGCGATCACCGTGGCCAAGGAAGGTTGACACGTGGTGGTATTGTTTACATTTAGTCACGTAGGTGAAAAAGGTCTATAGCTATTGTGGCTCTGACTTATTTTGATAATACCATACATCACCATATAGTTGGGAACCATGACGGGCTGATGTGGTATTGATATGACAAGGCTCTAGGCTACATACCGCACCATATATATCAGCTGACAATTCACTTTGAATGTGAAGTTACTGTATATGCATCCAATATAAATTCTCGTCCAGACCGATTTTTGTTTCTGTCTGATGTGAATCTCAAAAAGTTAAATTTTGAATGGCCTTAAGTGCATTAAAAGATATATGGAGGAAAAACTGGTTTCCCACAAAATGGTAATCAGTGTATTTAGGGGTTTGTTATTGTGGAAGGGGCATAGGATGGGCAGCTGGAAAAGGGGTGTGGTTTCAGGAGAGACACGGTGGGAGCAGATTCCCCCATTACCTTTCTTTTATTAGTAACATCTTCAGTACCCATTTCCCTTTTTTTTATCTTTATCAAGATGGCATGCTCCAACATTAGGTACGGCAAAGGAGTTACCCAGGAGGTTGGAATGGTAAATATTCATGCTAAGTCAATTCTGGGTCTGCAGATCACCATGCTGTTGGGTCCTATCCAGGTTTGCTTGTGAAGTGTTTTTACAGGTTTGAGTAAAGCATTGACGGGCAAAAGACAGTATTAAAATTCACGCCACCACCAACTCAAGTTCCACAGAAATTACTCATTTTTCTTTTTTTGTGTGTGTTTAGCTAAAACATTAATGCACTTGTGATCATAACTGGCAAGTGATAAACCGTTGGTGTTCTGTGGCCTGATCAGCATGTTTTACTTTTATTCCTGCAAAATTCAAAGATTAGTTACTGAGAAATGTCACTGTATGCCATCTTTCCTCATGTAGGATTTTAACAATCTTGGTGCGAAGAAAGTGTGCGTCATGACAGACAAAATAGTAAGTTATTTCTGACTTTTCTGATGTCTCAAGGATGTTGATTTCTTTTGTTGATGAGAACCCCCCAAAGTTTGGTCAAATGAAATAAAGTGCTTCTAACTTAACTTTGTCATCGTTCAGATAGCGAGTCTTCCGATCATGACAGCTGTGTTAGAATCTCTTCAGCGCCACCATGTCAGCCATGATGTGTTCCAGAACGTCCGTGTTGAACCCACTGATGTCAGGTATGAGCTAAACCTACTTGATTCAAGTCAGAAGATGAAATGAATGTAGGCAGGTGAGGTGAAAAATGAGATGAAGCCTACAGTCTGTCCGATGGAGAACCTGTAACACCATTGAACACCCAGGGTTTTGCCATCTCCTACAGGTTCCTGATGGCTCCTATAGGTTCCCAATAGATTTGGCCAGTTGTTTGGGTAGGCGGATACTTCAACTACCTGTGGGAATTCTTAAGATTTTGTTATCTTCAACAGATTCCTGTGGATTTTGTAGGATTACTACCTCCCCATAGGAGCTTTTAAATCACTAGTAGGAATCCCATTGGACCCCGCAGGCTTGTGTCGTTTCCCACAGGCACCTATGATTTCTTTCAGGATGTCTTTTTACTCATAGTCTAGGTTGTAGGATAATTTTTTATGACCCTTGAAGTCCCCAGTAGGAATCCTTTAGGATTCTGTAGGATTAAGTACCCTCGCCTGACCTTATATTTGCAACCAGACTAGTAGATATGCTGCCCTCAACAGGTCATGCACACACCCAGTAAAAAATTCTTTGCTACCAAATCTTTTATAAAGCTTCAAAGAAGCCATAGCATTCGCCAAAGCGGGCAACTACGATGCCTTCCTAGCGGTGGGCGGTGGTTCGGTCATGGACACCTGCAAGGCAGCTAATCTCTATGCCAGCAATCCCGACGCTGACTTCCTGGACTTTGTGAACGCTCCCGTTGGCAAAGGCATGCCGGTCAGAGGAGAGGTGAAACCCTTACTGGCCGGTGAGTTGTACCTCGAAATTTCTCTATTGTCCTGGAAAAAACCTGTATCATTGTTTTGTATTGTTTCTCTAATTAGATGAAAATACAATCGAACCCTGGTTAATAAGAGGTCCTTTGGACTTGCCCAAGTACCTTGTTATAACAGGATCCTTGTGTTATCAGGAATGAAATCAATAAAAAAACCAATGAAAAACAAAGAATTGAGACCTAAAAATGTCCTTGTTATAAGCAGAATCTTGTATTAACAGTCCTCTTACTGACTGTGTCATTTTTTTCTTCTTGGTCTCAGTTCCTACTACTGCAGGAACTGGAAGTGAAACAACAGGGGTGGCCATCTTTGACTATATGCCTCTTAGGGCAAAGACAGGTATGCTATTTCTAGCATTTCTTGGTGAAGGTGATTTTCTTCGTTAAGCACACCCACAATCTTGGATGTAAGGAAGGAAACAAGAAATGCATGCATCTCCAATTTGAGTTAAACATCAGATGTAATTTCCACCTGCATCTCAAATTCTGTTCAACTGTCCCAATTTTGCATCTATCAGCACTCCACTCTTGCTTTTCAAATTTCCATCTTGTTGCAATCTGTCACATCAAACCCCCCCTCCCCACTACTGGTCATCCTAAATCCTAAAGCTTGCTCTCGTTGAGGGAGTTGTTTGTGCTTTCTTCTCCCTAGGTATTGGCAGCCGAGCCATCAGACCTCTTCTTGGCATTGTGGATCCCCTCCATGTTATGCACATGCCAACCAATGTGGCTACCTACAGTGGTTTTGATGTGCTTTGGTAAGGGAGAACTATTTTGAAATTAAATGTGTGGTTGTAATGCGGTACTAACACTTGTGATAGTGGGTAAGAGAAATTGGAGTGAAGATTAGTTGATATGTCGGGTTCATTTAACAAGATTTTTAACTGTTGAAAACTCTTTTCTAATCGTCAAATACAGTCAAGAGTTTCAATTTCAATAAAGCTATGTCAACTTTTCAATTTCTTAACTCATTTATCTCAAACATTTAAATGTACCTCAAAAATCTGATGGACATGCAACTCATTACAGCGATGTTCAGCAGGTCTTGGAAGTTCACCTCATATCTGACAGGGAAATTCAGAATCTTACCTCCAAGATTTAGATTTGAAATTTATCTATTCTTTGGTCACACAAGAGCATTAACCACTTGCTGCCGGGGGCAGTTATCAATGTT